CTTCAAACTAATTAAGTTTCAGGCCTCACAAAGCCTGGATTCACACCACTTATATTTTCAACAAAATGTTGAACTCTGGTGCAAGTTTTAGCTTCTGCAGGACTTTTTCAAACAACACCTAAGGTTCTTTAAGTGTTTCCAAGTAGAAACTCATGGGCTTTAATGATTCTGCTTAAGTGGAGAGGAGAAGGAGCCAAGATAAGTCAGGAAAAAGTGCCGTAATACACATTATCAGTTGTAACAGAGAGGTTAAAATGTAGGCATTTTAAAGTATTTAACAAGCAAACAAACCATATATGGAGAATAAATATTCTTAGATAAATCTGAACAGAAGACGCACAATAATTAGCTATCAGTGGACGATTTCTCAGCATAAAAAACTTAGAGCTCACTATTCAACTGCACCTATAACCGTTAATTATATTAAATTAAATACATGCTATGTGTTTATACACACACACACACACACACACACACACAGCAATTCTAAAATCAGTAGGTGCTCAGGAGTTTGCATTTTTATTTCCAGTTTAAAAGGTATATGCCAGGACCCAAATTTGCCATTAATGTGGCAGAGTGCACTTTACATACTTTTCTCAGCATCTCTAGATTTTCAGAGAAGAAAGTGGCCCCCCCCAAAAAATTCTCTCACAATTCACTCTGACTTGTCAAAGTGGCATTGAGAACAGTTTGAAATCCTGACCCATTTAGAGTTTAAAGTAGTTTGGTTAAAAATCTTCAATAAAATCTAATATAGAATGTTGTCTCTAAAGTTCTTTCAATACAATGAAGACAATGAAGTCCACATTAATATCCTGCTACTCACTAGCTTTCCCTAAACATTTTTTGGTAAATTTATAAAAGACAACACCAGATTTCCCTAAATATTTCTTTGGTAAATTTATAAGAAGCATTTTTGAAAGCTTAGCAACAAAAATGAAAAGCATTTAAATGTTCAGCAGTGCATATCATGTATCAAGATAACATCACTAATTATCAACTCTGCAAAGATCTCCATGCCTTCAATATATAAATATTATGTAAATTAGTACAAAAATAATAGTATTCATATATATAGATATAAGGGTTTTTTCAGGTTACAGAGATTTACACTTACAACTTTCTGATAGTGGGATGAACACAACCCAGTAGTGGCTCTCAAGGAACTTATAGCAAAGAAGGGAGAAAAAGAGAAATACTGAAATAGTCAACATATGAGGCATAATAAAAATCCCTTTAAAAAGGTGCACTCTGAATCTATTACAATTATTTACACTGGGTTAAGAACATCAGATCTGCTTCAGGGAGGAGGAGACATTGGAGATGGGCCTTGACTTAGAATAAGAGTGCAGAAGACATGGTGATAGAATGTGAGGAGTATTCTAGTCCCCAAGACTAGTGAGAGCAAAGTTGGGAAGACTGGAAAGACTGTGTGTTTGTAGAAAAGAGTGAGTAAAATCAGTTCCGCTATATCACTTGCTTCATAAATGTGAATTCGCTCATACAAGATTGGCAAATGGGAAGATGATTTCAGAAAGAGACAGAAGGCACATAGGTTCATACGCAGTTCTTTCCAGCATATTAATGTTTGTACCAATAAGTGAAGACAGCTGAATGAATGCAAAGTATACTCACCCAGCTGAGGACACCAAGCTCAGGAATACTGGGCCCGTAACACAGCCTGCACACCGTGCCCGGTCACCCATGAACTTGTCCTGGGTTTGGCCAAGACTCTGTCTTGCAAGTCTTCAGTGTCCAGTTATCCTCCATAATTGTGCTTTAAAAATTATTGTTACATATTTATTTTTATTTAAAAATTCATTTAAATTATAATTTACATTTAATATTATTTTGTATTAGTTTCAGGTATATAGCATAGTGGTTAGACAATCATGTACTTTACAAAGTGTCCCTCCTGATATGTCTAGTACCCAGTTGGCACAGCACACAGTTATTACAATATTATTGACTATACTTCCTGTGCCGTACTTCACAGCCTCATTTCCATTTTGTAACTACCGGTCTGTACTTTTCAATCCCTTCACCCTTTTCACCAGTCTCCCAACACCCCTCCCCTTTGGCAACCCTAATGGTGCATTTTTACCACATCTGTCAGTCAGCGGACTCATTCCTTCTTTATATCCTTTGTCATCAAAGTGCCTTCACCTATTCCTTTTAAGGTAAAATTCTAAATTTACTGAAATAATTATGTATTTTTAAGTTTTCAACATACCTTTATGCATGATGCTAATATTTTGACCAAGACTGTTTTTGATTTTTTTGACTTCTCTGATTACAAAGTTGCATAAATTTGAGTGACTTGCCCCAATCCTATTTCCCTATAAGCCTTGGTATTTGTAGAAATAATTTTTACAGGACTCCTGGTATTTGTTTTCTTTTCAGGAGAACATAGATCACAACTTAACATAAAAACAAATCATTCCCGTTTTAGAGAAGAAATGATTATATCGGCAAGATAAAAAAGATGAGGCTATAAAACATAGACTGAGAAAATGTTATAGATGATCTTAGAATGTCAGTTTTAGAAATTTTCATCTATCCAGGAGTCAGTAGAAAGGATATAATTGTTGTTATTCTTTATAAAGAGTAATCTTTCAGGGATATTAAAAAAAAGAAGTGTATCTTATTGTTTTTTAATTTCTGAAAATCACATTAAGACTAAAGTAGAAAAGAATAACTGCTACAAGTAAAATTTATTTAGCTGAACACTGAAATGATGATGAAATGTTAATATACTAAATCCAAGTATGCATCTGCTTCTACAGTCAACAAGGTACATGAGGAAGGGTGTGGCTGTTCCAAATAGCTTAATCAATCCTTGCTAACTTGACCAGACGTCAAGGTTCAAAAGAGAAACCGAGACAAGTTAAGTTAGCATTTATTAATTATCAAAGGAATAGTTCTTTTCTTTGGAAAGGAAAAGAAAAACTCTAGTATAATGTTAGATTTTTAAATAGTATAGACTCTACCTGGAAGGACTCATTTTTTTCTACACCTCAATGTCACCAATTTAAAGCAAGATTATCTGGTTCTGGCCAATGAATTAAGTGAAGTAGGTTGAGCTACAGCTATATGTTTAGCTGTTCTGAGCAAAACCTCTTTCCCGCAGATTTGTCTTTTGCTTGAATAGGAGAATGTTCTATAGCATTGCAGTAGGAAGGGGCCTTAGAAATCATTCAGTAATTTAACCCTTTCAGCTCACATTTGAGATACTGTGGCCTGAAGTTTTGAGTGACGTCTAACAGGACCTTAGTGAGATTCCACGTCAGACTCCAGAGTCCCTGCATGTGATTTGCTAGTTTTTAATGCTATGCTGAGGAAGTAAACAGATCAAAGACATAGGGGCATCAAGGTATAAATATTTCAGAGTTTTTGTACAAGAAAATTAAAATGTGATATTTTTGTTTTGATTCTAATATTTATCCTGACATTGACATTTTATATTGTGTTTATTTTTGTTTTTTAATTGATAAGTAAAAAGCCACTGGGTCAACGGGTCCAGAAAACTGTCAACAGTGATTCTACGTCCCTTTCTGGTTGTCACTGGGAGCATGGCAGTATACAGTGCAAAATTCTAGTATTTGAGAATTTCAAAGAAATTTCTCAGTGGACTCTAACCAACATTCTCTTTTCTCAAATGTAATGCTCTGGAAATTAATAAATTTGTTATAATAATGAAGGCTAATCATAACCAATTTATTCCCTATCAATTATACAATTAATAGGTTGATTTAGTACCTCAAACTTTAGTTAGCACCTTCTATAAAAATTGAAAAAGCATCTTGAAGTTTACATTAGAAAAAAAAGTATGTCCTCATTTGATCTAACTTTAAATTAGATAAACGTAAAATTACAAAGACCTAATTATGAAAGACACAATAAGACTTTCCTTCCTTTTGTCTTGAGAATTTTATTCTCTGGTCCAGGAATAGAGAAAGCCAACTTGTCTAAAATGTGTAACAGTTCTTTGTCCACAAGTCCATAATATTTTTCCACTATTATTTTTCTCATTAACCAAGCTTTCATGCAAATAATATTCTAGGCACACTCGTAATATTTCCCAATATCGCCTCTCTACCCTCAAGTTATTATAACCCTCCAACTATAGAGATTCAAATGTACACTAATATGCAAATATTTAATGTTTAAAAAGTCTCTCCACAATTGAGATGACTCTGTAACAACAATTAGATAGATAGATAATAGATAAATGACATATAACTTCTCATTTTAAAAAGAAATCTTTTTAAATATTGCATTTACAAGACTTATCTTAGGCATATTTCAATTATTCAATCAATGTAGTTTCAGTGAGGCAATTCACTATCCTAAAACCTCGTTAGCCAAGTGTCATCCTGGATGCAGAGTTAGTACCTGGCATGGAGCCTGGCCTTCATTTCAAGCTGGTCTTGTAGAGCTTATATTCTAGTGAAGAGGACAGATCAACAAACACACATAAATGGAGGTGTCCTTCATTGTTTGAATTTAATCTGTTCCAGAAAAACCTATTGGATATTAAGTATTCAGGGGGTAGGGACCTATATTCCATTATGTTTTCTTTTCTTACAACTCTAATTTTGTACTTTTTGACCCCTTCACACATTTCATCTAACCCCCCTCCCTGTGATACATTACGTATGTTAGAAATGTAATAATGCATTTTTAACCCATTCTAAAATACCACTTATTCACACCACTGAGGGTCAATTAAAACCTCAATATAATCATCCACCAAGTACTCTAACAAAACATACAGCATTTAAAACACCAGTGGTAATGAAGTCCAGGTAGAGGATGATGGTTACTTGGTCTAGGGTGGTGGCCATGTAGATGGAGGGACGTGGAAGTATAGATGATATATTTGATATCGTTTCGGCCCTAGAACAGCTTACAATTGAATCTCAGAAGATAGTTTGATGTATTGAATACTGATAGGCCAAGTAGACATTGTCTGATTCATGTGAGATCTCTCTCTTCAGTCCTCAGGTGGAAGATAGTGAGGGGACAATTCAGTTTGATGGAGAAGGCTATGCGATGGTCAGCCGCCCCATTCGCTGGTACCCCAACATCTCCACAGTCATGTTCAAGTTCAGGACATTTTCTTCAAGTGCTCTCCTGATGTACCTTGCCACAAAAGACCTGGTAAAGATATGCACAGCTGATTTTCCATGATTGAAAATTTTTTGTTTCTTTTCCCTAGTATTCTGATACAATTATTAGTTATTGTCAAATTATTAATTATTGTTCAAAGGAGTCTGTGATAGCCAAGAGTGAGTGATGCAGAGAGCACTTATGTATTTTCATTGATAATACAGAAATAATTTAATTATTATTACTTATTTTCATTATAACTCCCCATATAATCCTTTAAGAGAAGGACCCAATGAAGATAACCCCAGTATAGAATCATGAAGGAGCAAAATTTATTCCTCAGTCTTCTTCTATAGACCTAACTTGAAAGATGATTCTAAATATGCTCATTGTTATTACTGGACTGATATTTCTTAGTAAATTCTTTCAGAGAACATACCTCTTAGTTTGCTTAATATGTTTTCAAGGGAACCAACTTTATACTCCTGTCATAAAGGGATACATCTTAGTAATTTAGTTGTGACCATTTACACCATGCTACTACACCCACAAATATTCACAAAATAGTAATACAGATTCTGTGCTCAAAATGGAGTTCAATTACAGATCAATACATTCAGTAATTTAGCCATAAGGCCCTGTTATAAACCCCACAAAGGAAGTGACTACCCACATATTTCTCTGTGTATCTAATTACTGGTGTATTTTTACTCTATTAATAGAAAGATTTCATGAGTGTAGAGCTCACTGATGGGCACATAAAAGTCAGCTATGATCTGGGTTCAGGAATGGCTTCCGTTGTCAGCAATCAAAACCATAATGATGGGAAATGGAAATCATTCACCCTCTCAAGAATTCAAAAACAAGGTGAGTTTCTATAGCAATAATGCACTATGAGCCTTAATCATGTTCTCCAAAGCTCTCATGTACCTAATCATGAAGAAGACCCTGTGTGTAATTTTAGGTACTCACAAATTCTGTGAAAAATTGATACAGTCATTTCTTTGGCTTAGATTATAGGTGGTTTAGGTTAGACATGACTGATTGAAGGGCCAAATGGTTCTCTGTCATTTTCTTTTTAAACTGAGAGCTTAATTTAAAAGCACAAAATTGTCTTACAACTTGTAAAATTATATCCTGCAGTAGGTTTAAAAAGGTTGTATTTTCTTCAACCCTCCACCTTTTTCTTCTTCATTTACTGAGACGTTTCCTTTATGGCCCACAGGTAGAATTGTAGGGGTTGTTAGAGCACAGCTACCTGTCCTTTGTTTTTTTAAAATGCCAACAATGTGTGTGTACAAATAAATGATTAAGAATGATGTAACATTTTCATGGTTCCAAGACGTTTTAAAATCATGTTCCAAAACATTATTTAATTTGATCATATCAGCAGGTATTTTGTTCTGGTGTTAGAGAAAGGGAAACATAGACTCAAACATCACAGATATATACATTGTCACAACCAAGACAGAAATCCAAGTCTATTAGGTTTAGTATGCTGCTATTGTGTATTTGAGTATAAGTTTCCTAGTTCTAAGTACTGTCACATTGCTAATATCTGCAAATGAAACTTTGATACTTCTGTTTATATAATTAGACCTAATTAATTGAGACCATGACAAAGTGACATTTCATGGAAAATTAGGTTAAACTTTGCACCCTCCTTCATTCCTGCATTTAACAAATATCTGTCAAGCACCTACTAAGGATTGGGTTGCCCAAAAATTTCATTTGTTTTTTTCTGTAAGATGGCTCTAGTAGCACTTAGTTGTCTTTAACTTCATTCAAAATAATTGTGTTAGACTGTATTGTGACAGCTGTCATAGCATCATGCATTTAAAAAAAAAAAACATCAAAATTGGTGAATTTTTGTGTAGCCATTTAAATGTTGAAGATAGAAGAAAATAAGAAACATTTTTGGCATATTATGTATTATTATTTCAAGAAAGATAAAAATGCAACTGTAATGCAAGAAAAGACTTGTGCAGTGTATGGAGAAGGTGCTGTGACTGTTCGAACATGTCAAAAGTGTCTTGCAAAGTTTCGTGCTGGAGATTTTTCTCTAGACGGTGCTCCACGGTCAAGTGGACCAGTTGAAGTTGATAGCAATCAAATCAAAACATTAATTGAGAACAATTAACATTATACCCTCTTGGAAATAGCTTACGTACTCAAAATACCCAAACCAATAAAGTTACTGGTGAAAATGTGTCTTTTATTTTACAGGAAAAAAAAAATACAGACTTTTTGGCCAGCCCAATACTATACCGGAACTAAATAAAGTCTATGGCAAGTTCTTAATTTCAAGGAGCTTGTAGTCTAAGGGGACGATAGGCAAGTAAATCAACAGTGAGAGGACAGAAAGCTAATTGCTGTGTAGAGCTATGCCTAGCAGCCTAGGAACCTCAGAAGAAACAGACATTTCAGTCAAACCGAGGTCAGCACCCAGGAGACTATCCCTGAGGTGCAATCAGAAGTTGAGGAGTTTGCTGGGGGGAAAGCACCTTTTGACATTTCTGAGAAGTGCGAGTCTGCAGTGCCTCAGAGAGCATGATACAGAATGCAGTGTTTCCCAACTGCTTTTCCCTGGAATATAAAACCATGGAGAAACCCCTTTTGTATAAAAACTGGTTGTGCACTTGTATAAATTAGAATACTGCTTAATACATCACTCCCGTATAAGAGAGCCATAATGCACGCCGCCTGTTGGAGGTTCTGTATAGCAGTTAAAACAATGTCTAACTCTGTTTGGCCCAACATCTCCCAAACTTCTTCGGTCACCAGAATCCTTCCATTCCTCATAACTAGCAGTCTGCTGAATACACTGTGGGAAGTGCTTAATAACTACAAGTAAATCCACAGGCTAGCAGGATGGACGTGGACATAAAATTATTAGATGAGGCGAGAGAGATACAGAGCCAGTTCATAAAGGGCCTCACAAGATAAGCTAATGAGTTTCAAGTTTATTGTGAATGCTACAGGGAAGTACCAAGAGTTTCAGGCAAGGGCGTGACACTGTCACACCATCAGAAATGTGCTTTAGTAATGTTTCCTTTACTAAAGGAAACAAAATACAAAAATACATCAGTGCCATTTACCAAGGAAATGGTAAAATGAATTCCACAGGAAAAATGAATTACCACAGGAAAAAGAATACGTTTTCTGGAAGAGACGCTGAGTTCTATGTTGGGCAGGTTGTGCTAAAGGGACTCTTACTATCTCTAGCAGCCTAGGGAAGCTGCATAATGGGCAGGCAATTAGTGGTGTGTACCTGAGGATCGGCAGAGCTCTAGGAAAGAGACGAATAACTAGGAGCTGTCATCATGTTTTCAATAGTTGTAGCTGAATAGGGATGAGAAAAGCCAAGCTGTCATATCTAGAATAAGATGATCCAAAGCCCTGGAGCCAACAGCAGTATCGAAGCGGTATATATAAAGGAAGATACCACAAAAAGGACTCTAAAGAAATAAATGGAGAAAGCAGAAAAAAAGGAAGGCAGATTTTCAGTAGATCATTCTGGAGGCAGAGTGACCAATTAGGTCTAATAATAGTCCAGGCCGGAGGTGAATGATGGCTTCAAATAAGAGCTGCAGTGAGATGTGGCACGAGGGGAATGCAAAACAAATCCACGAGCGATAACACTGTACAGTTATTAGAATGTCTAAAATGAAAAGGACTGAGCATACCCAGGGCTGGCAAGGATGTGGAGCAGCTGGAACTCTTACGTGCTGCTGATGAGAATGTAAAGTGGTGCAGCCACACTAGATAACAGGTTGGCAGCCTTCTTAAAAAGCTAAATACACACCTGCCTTATGAACCCTCCTAAGTATTGCCAGGACACAGGAAAGCGTATATCCATACAAAGACTTGGATTGTACCAGAATGTTCATAGCATCTTTATTTGTGATGCTTAAATAAAAAACAACCAATTCAAGCATCCATCCACAGGTGAATGGGTATACAAATTCCCACACAAAAGAATTATATTTAATGATAAATATAATGAACTTTTAATATGTCCATAACATGGATGAACCATGAAGCAGACAAAAAAAGGGTACATTCATGTGAAATTATAGATAAAATGCACATTATCCTATAGTCACAGAAAGCAGACAGGGGCTACATGTGGACAGGGCTGTGCAGAGAGGGACAAGAAGGGTGACAAAGAGGCATCAGGGAACATTTGGGGTGATGGATGTGTCCATATTCTTGATTATGGTGATGATTTCATGGACATACATATTTAAAAAACTGTCAAATTATATCCTTTACACATGCACAAATTATACTAGGTCAGTTCCACTTTGGTAAAACTGTGTTTTAAAGTAGGACAGATATTACAGGTATTTAGAAGATGAAATGAGTAGCGCTGATTTTGACTGGTTAGCTGTGGAATGGTGGGAGAAATTTCAGGATGACTGTAATTTAAAAGATTAAGTGGGGGTCATAGCACCACAAAATAAAATAAATAATATAGAATTGTGAGTAAAAAGATCATTTGGACTTGGAATATGTTTAGTTTGGAGTAGTGAGAAGGCAGGTACACGGATGATGTTGTCTTACCTGTTGAATGTGCATTTTTTGACAAAAATCAGGTTCAAGCATCTATGAGTTGTTATCGTTTAGAAAGCAGATATAACCTTGAGGGCACCTCAACAGCTAAAACCTGAGAAGGGGCCAAATGAAGGCACATGAGAGAACACAAACATTTCAGAAGTGTTCAAAGAAATAGGTCCTGGGAAGGAAACTGAGCTTGGCGATGAAAAGGGCAGAGAAGCTGGAGAGCTTGCCATTATGGAAGCCAAACGAGGAAACTTCCTAGAAGGAAAGAAATTCAACAATACCAAACACTGCATAGGTGTGGACTACGATAAGGACAGAAGGGCCCTGTCTGGTTTGGATGAAGCGGAGGCCACTTGGATTTTAGCAAAATCAGATTCCTTGGACAGGACAGGGATAGGAATTCAAACAAGGCTTCCGATATGTGGGTCCTCTCTCCTACTCAGTGACCAGATTAGTTGTTTTCCATGACTCATTCTCAACTAGTTGGTAAAAGTGCTGTCCCTTCGGATTCAAATGCTTCCTCCACCTCTGAAAGACTCAGTGGAATCTCCATCTACTACCAACAGAAGTTTGCCAGGTCCCACAGGGGCTTTGAGATGGACAGACATACAACTAAGAAAGATCGTTTGGATTTCCAATGGACTCAGAGAGAGAAAAAAGGAATCACCAAAGTAAAAACAATTCATTTATAATGACTCTGCATTGATTGTAAAATGTTGGTTAGGCCTCTGCTCTGTGTCTAGTAGTTAATAAAATCCTTATTTCCCTGCTTACCCATAAATGATGTCTGAACTCATCAACACTGAAATTTTATGTTAATAGCTATTCTTTAAGGGAAAGAAGTAGGGCAAGAAGTAAACAAAAGTGTTAGCATTTCAATGCAGTAACCATTTCATCACTATCACTCATGAAGTATCGAGTCCTTCCTTTAAATCAGTAAAAATATGCCAACCTATATCTCTCTGCCAGAATTAACGCTTGGGTCGGTGAGTTTCAATTCAATTGTGTTTCTGCTCTTTAATCAGTTCTTCTTAGAATGACTTCTAAAAATGCATATATTCACTCAGGGATAAGGAGGGAAACTACCTCCAGTCACTGGCATGCCTGAGATAGAGGCAGAATCTCATTTTCACGGACACCACTAAAATATGTACCAGGTCTGTAGAAAGAGTCTATCTTTGTGTTCCAGGCAACAGCCCTGTAAAGTCTTGAAAACAGTTTTTTAATTTTTTTTTATTTTAGCCACTGGCCAGGTCAAAAATATATGTGTGTATGAAATGAATATGTGTATAAAAGTAGATTTTAAAATCATAATTTGCTAAATATTTTTAATAAGACAATTATTTCTTAAGGCTTTTTGGTTGTTGTCTATATGTTTTTATAAAACTTTACTTTGAGGACATGAGGTCTTAATAAGGTTTGGGTATTTTATTTTGGTTGTTTTTAAAAGCAGTTATGTTTGGCTTTATTGAAGATTCTTCCATTTGGAATTGAAGGGCAGCAGATTACAATGGAATTTTGGAGTCTGATATTTTTTTTCCAAACAATACTATTCTAAAAGATGATGAGTTGAGAGAAAATAATAACACTTCATGGTCAAATAAATATGGCAAATACTTCTTGCTGTATGTCCCTGCTGGAGCATTACATTGCTTATCAGGACATTGAAAGACCTGGGAAGTCATAAAACGAAGATATAGTTTAATTTTTCTTAATCCAGTGTTTATTATATTTATTTGAACTAGGAACATTCAAGAAACTAGCTTTCCAAAGAATAAACATTTAGAAATGCCATTATAATCCATCTAGTTCAAATGGCCATTTTCAGACCCTTCCTAATTCAGATCTCATATCAAGCAAAGATTTGGAGGCCAAACCCGCCACGTTAGTAAACTAATGTAACAATAAGTATCAAGCAGCCAAAATACAGCCTGTGAAGCAGTTAAAGCCTGGACCTAAGCAAATATGGTGAGAAAACACATCATTCAGAAAGAGCCCAGCTTAACTCTTCAGAATAAAGGGAGAAAATCAATGAGTGAAGGGGTTTTCGTCCACTTGCTGAAGAAAGCAGTTTAAACAGGGAAGTGCCTCTCTTTTTTTCCCTTTTCCTATTTCTGAATTCTTATACTCATCATATCTGAACCACCTATAAGACCCGAGAGAAAGCAATTAGGCATGAAGACTGTACCTCTCTCACAACACTCAGCATCCTTCATCTAAAATGTAATTTACAATGGATGTGGACCCCATCACCTTGCAAAACCAAACTCTTCCCTGCATGCCTGTCCCATCTGCAGTACTTTGTGGGCGAGCCACGGCCCCAGTACTTCTGTGGATACCGAGGTATACAAAGGAGCCACAGATTCAGTATATTAATAACCTCACTCCTAATTAGATAGTGACCTTAGTATTAGGTAATTATCTTACTTGATTTTCTAACTACTTATCTATATTACAGAAAACTATGTCAAATGTTTCTTTGATGTTTGTCTAGCAAAACTTCTCTCTTATTCTTGATTGGTTTGCCTTCATTGGTGTTCGGGATATCATTTTCACATTCTCTTTGTGAATAGTTTAATAACATATTTCACTGATGTTTTTGTTTATGCAATTATTAAATAGTTGTATATAGTACAAGTGCTTAAGAAAGTCAATGTTAATCTGAGAATTCAAGTAAATTTATCTTGAAGTAACAGGGGTGGTATAGATGTGGTAGGTATTGCTGAAATAAAATGTTTAACTTCCTCTCTCTTTTACAGCCAACATATCAATTATAGATATAGACACTAACCAGGAGGAGAACATAGCAACTTCATCTCCTGGAAACAATTTTGGTCTTGACTTGAAAGCAGATGACAAAATATATTTTGGTGGTCTGCCAACACTGAGAAACTTGAGGTAATTTAATGTATATGCAGAGCTAAAAATTAAGTTTTAATTAAGTGGCCACTATGCTGACTGAAGTGCTGAAGTTTAATTACAACAGGAATATCATATAATCTTTTTTTTCTAGAATATCGTATAATCTTTAGTTGTAGAAATGCCCAGTCAAAAAATCATGTTGCATGCTAGAACACCAGGATTTAGAAACCAAAGGATTAACTTGATACTTTTGTTAAAGAGATGGATGAGAATCGCTCTTTTCCTTATAGTCACCTGATAAAAAGAATTATAGTAGTAATTAAAGGTGGAGACTACGGTTGAATGTGAATCTTGTAATTGCTGTTCTCCTTGCACATTCTCTGGAGATAATGACACACTGACATTGCTTAGTGTCCTGAAAATTAGTCAGTGTTCCAGGATGCTGAGAGTGTAACCTAGTCTATTACTCAGCGTTAGCGTGATAATGGCATTGGAGCTTTCCCATACACCTACTATTAAAGCTGTATTAGTTATCCTCATGCCCATGCCAACATTTTTTAAAATTTCACATGTTTTTTAGATTGCGGGATGGGAAGATATATGGATCTCATAATTTAGTTAGTTCAAAAATAAATACAAGTAAATAAAAAATGTTAGAAAATATTTCATGTGGTATTTAATTTACTGCTTGTTATAAAAACATAAGAAATAAAAGTTATAGGGTAGTTGGTGCTTGATAAATGTTAATTAAATTTAATTAAAATGGGATGAATTGGTGTGGTTAACCCATTTACTATAAATATGGGCTACCATGTTTTTAATTTTTGTATTGTTTTATTTAGCTAGTTTTTAATGGTTAAAAAAGTCCTGTTTAGGTGTTACTGCTCTAGAAAGACATGTTACAATTGGAATAATTGAAGAATAACTGAAATGCATGGTAGTCAATTATTTACATATTGTCCAAAAGGGTAATGGAACTTCAGTCTCCTTTTATGAAAGCTAGCATGCAGACTTCTCCCTGTATCTAAATTCATAGACCAAACAACCATGTAATTACCAGTCTTTTAAGGGTATAACTTGATAAGCTTTGTGGTGCAAATTAACTGGTTCTGCATTTATCTACATTATAAGGTTTTTGTGTTAGAAATATAGACTTAAAGTGTCTGGTCAGAAAAATCATTACAGATCAAATGTATCCATGTAGTGACACAGATATTAATCATTCAACAAGTGTTTAAGCATCTGTTCAAGCACCATATAAATACTAGAGATCCAGCAGTTGTTCAAATCTAAGATTTACTTTGCAAGATCATTGACTAAATTCTAGATGAGTGAATGAAATATAGTCAGAATAAGGCTATCCAAATGTAGTTTCATTTATTCTAGTGAAGACTTGGTTTTAATTACCATAAAGTGATTTTTAAGAATTATCTACAAAGATGTATATGTTAGCTTTAATGAAATGAGTAGGTGTTAGTTTTCAGACTACATAACTAGTGAATCTCTATTACTAAAATGTTTTTACTTTCACAATACAGCAGTTCATAAATATAGTATTTCCATTGTATGGCATGTTATTTCAAAGCAATCTTTAGACGTATATTTGTGACTAATCAACTAGTCATGCATTCTTAGCCATTACTTTGCCCACAGACAGGATCTTAATATATTAAAGTTCAAAAGATGTGGTAATCATAAATTATTTTTACATATATTAAGTTCAAGTTTTTGAGAGACAATATTTACATTCTACTTATAAATACTACAGCATAGCAATGTTTATGCATTTTTCTATTCGTAAGATTTGAGCACTTTAAAAACTCACATTTCAAAATACAAATTTTCCAAGAGAATAGTGTGAGAAAGGTCATCTTTAGATTCTAATTACACTGTGGTCAAGGGCATATGTCTGTTTTCTGAAGATTTTTAAATTCCTTTCCTTTGACCATCCCTGTGAAGATGCTTTTTAGAGAGATTTATAATTACAGTTTATTTTACTAAATGAAAATGCAATTATAAATAAATTGTGTTTTTTTTCTCTTTCTTTTGTTTGACCTAGTATGAAAGCAAGGTAAAATTTAAATTTATGCATGCTGTCTTCAAGTGCATGAGTTGCATAAATGTGGCTTCTTAGATAAAGCATCACTGCAGAATCAGGGCAACAACTATGCAGCTTTATTCATAGCAGATTTCATGAGAACATAATGCATCCTGAGATAGTTCTCATACTGCCCTTTGCTCACAAAGACGCTGTTGCTTACCTACCATCAACTGGGCTGCAAGTGGACTTGCTTCACCCACGACCACAAATTTGCTCTGCTTTTGTTCAACCGCCCACAGACAGCGCCCCCTGGTGTCCACACTCAGCAACACATGCGCGAAAGGCAGCTGGTCAAGTTTCTGAACACAATCTAGTTCTGAGGAAGAGAACAAAGCGTTTTCTTGGGTTGACTCCCAGACTCTAGTCTCTGTAGTACCATGCTGTCTGCTGAACAATCGACCTGTGCTTCCACATGCTTACCACTGCCTTGTTGCTTTTTGCAAGCCTGCAAATATGCAAATGTTTACATGGCCCTTGCACCTCCTGGCAAAGCTGCTTATTTAATGCTATGTTTATTTAGAATTAGCTCTGGAGCCAGATAAAAGGAATCTCTGGAAATACTGTTTACTACAAGTGTTTGCATTAATAGTGCAGAAGTTTGTGAAAAGATGCTTCTCAGGAGGATTTTAATTATTATTTGCAGAGAGGCATTAGCATGACAGCTGTGAGTGGCAAACCCCTGCCAGTGGCCCATCCAGCCCCAGAGATGTGCAGGCTGGTTCACGCCAGCTAGAACTCAGCCTGGCATTTTGGTATTTCAGAGACAAACTGCGCCATTTTTCCAAAAAGGAGATAATGAATCTGAACTGATTCAAGAAATTTTTAAGCAAAACCTAGACGTTTAATACCAGAAACTAGAATATGTAGAAATGAAAGTGTAAAAATAAACAACCCGAGTTATTTCATCACGATACAGTAGTGAGACCAGTCCAACTGTTTGCTGGGGAGGCCAAAAGGACAAGGCTGGTGCTGGTCAATGGAACTATGTGCTAATAAAGCTCTGGAATGACACTATGTAGCTTTGTAATTTTGCCTTCCAGGCAAACAGAGGAAACAGACACCTGTGGTTACCTTTGGAAGCCTCATCACCACATGCAGTCGTTTATCCCCTGTGATTTTCATAACATTGAGCTTGCTAAATCATTGTATTTTGAAATATATCCGTGAAACAATGAATTACACAACTTGTAGGCGTGATTTTCTTTATTGATAAGACCTCTGAAAAACTGTGATAAATCAGTCTTCCTCTGTAAGGAAAACATGGAAACAAATGAACACTGCAAATGAAATTGATCCCTTTTCGCCCCTTTATACAGTAAGAATATAAGCAAGATCCTCACCCTCCAGTTGGGCATGTTCTACAAAATAACCAACTAACAGAACAGGAGGAGGAGACCTTAGGAACAAGGGGAAATAATCCCAAAAAATAAATGAATAAATAAAGCAGTTTCAGAGGAAAAAAAAAAAAGAGAACAAATCCCTGGCATGGCATAAATCACCTGATATGCACTGCCAGGGTCTGAATTGCTTCCCCACCTGTTTTTCCTTATGCCCATGCCTTTTTTATTAAGACAAAAAGGGAATCCCGGCATCACTGAACAATGTGCAGAGAATTAATTATTATCCTACTAATTATGTTTTAGTATTGATTGGACAGTTATTACAGATGCAAAAAAGTATTCTTTTTTTCTATCACTGTAGACCTGCACTATTCAATATGGTAGCCACTAACCAATGTGGCTATTTAACTTTAAAATAAATAAAATTTAATAATGATAATTGGCTTTTCATTCGCATAAGCTATATTTCAAGTGCTGCTGGCGACATGTGGCGAGTTACTACAGACTGAACACTGCAGAACAGAGTACGTCCATCATCACAGATGTTTGACTGGACAACACTGCTATAGACTAAATAAAGAAGTTTCATTATTATTGACATGCTGCTGGCTTATGCTTACTGAGCACATGTCCCTTTCTAAGAACTAGGAAGCTAAGAGTAAACATTCAGGTGTCATCTGGGTATAGTATCCATTTTCAATTTTCTTGAAAAAATCAAAGCATGTTTTGTGCTTTGGTTGCTTTATTGTGTTATTGCTCTAATATAGAATAAGAACTTTGGGCTCGATCTGTAAATCTAATTTTAAAGTATCTTTTTTTAAGACTATGTAATCCAAAGAATGTTTCTTAGGCTTTTAGTTAAAAAGCTTTAGAGAGAACTATCATATCTTACTCTTTAGCTACAACCCCTGTCCACCAAAAAAAAAAAAGTCACAATGACAGAAATATTTTATTTTTCAAGTAAATGTTTCCAGATTTTTCTTCCTAAATTTTGAGCAATATTTTATTTAACATTTTTGGGATGTGGTTTGATTATACAGCCTACACAATTGTCTGCTCTTTGAGGGGAAAAAGAAATACAGTTACTTATGCATATAAAGAATGTAAGAAGTCAGTTAATAATTCCTGTACCTTGTAGTATTCAAATGCCGTGGCTAATATCATTTTTTTAAAAAAAAAAAAAAAAAAGAAGACTAATTACATTAAGACTCATTTTCAGGGTGGTGTTAACATCCACTTTATCTAAGCAGTAGGAAATGGAAGCATAGTTTGCTGGGTACACGCGTGCACGTGTGCACAGTATGAGAGATGGTGCCTGCCTGCCTGTCAGTCTGCTGTATGTGGCTTGTGTCCAGTAGTCACAGACACTACACTGCCCTTGACCTAATAACATTACTGTTGTTTTCCATGTCACTTTTCAACAGGCCAGAAGTAAATCTGAAGAAATATTCTGGCTGCCTCAAAGATATTGAAATTTCAAGAACACCATATAATATACTCAGTAGCCCTGATTACGTTGGTGTTACCAAAGGATGTTCACTGGAGGTTGGTTTGTTTATATTGGCTTCCTAAATACATTCATATCAGAGTTCACTTACGTAGTTTGGGCGCTCTTACACAGACCGATCCCTTGTTAGTATGTTTTAAATGCCTGCTGACCCTAGTCTCAGCTATGTGTCGATGGTAAAGCAAGGCTGAAGCACTTCTATAAGTGCCTGTAATCAACTGAACTTAGGAAATGGTATTATGAAGACCGAAAATTGTGAGCCTATTTCCCACATGTTTAAAGAATGTACTTTTAATATCCATCTCTTTTCTGGTTCTTTCTGCCTTTCCAACACTACTTTTCCCTTTTCTTCATTTTTTTCACCTCTTTTAGATTTATTGTATCTTTATGTATTGTATATAACTTTTCTGGAATGTGCTAGTTTACGCAAGTAGCTAGTAACAATTTACACCATATCATTAGTGTATAACATCTTGTCTACAGCTTAGAAGTAGAACCTCCTTTTCTTTGAAAATGGCATAGACTGGGAACCATATGCAAAGTCTTTTCTTTGACATGACTGCAGAGTCCCTTGTTATCATCTATCTTCAGTGTCTTTTCTTTGTTGCCAAAGCAACCCAGCAGCCCCCTGATTCCACTTCACAACTCTGCCCTGATTCGTCAACAGATGCTAACCCATAGTAGAGAGAAACATAGGTCCCTACTCTGCTTCTTAAAGTATCTATATGCAAGAAGCCAGTAGTCATTAGCAAATATTAGTAAGAATTTTATGGGAATTTTAAAGTGAAGAGTTTGTTTACCAAAAAAGGTTAAGTATATCATTCTCATAAAATTGTAATTACCCTGATATGATACAACTATCCATTCAAGCTGCTTCCTTCAATTAAAATTATTTTAAAGCATTTTGATGAGACGTGAAGAGAGAACAGGGAAAAAGAAAAAGTGAACCCAGCACTGAGCCATCAGATATAACAACTAGAACAGAATTTTCAGGGTCTTCATTGTGCGCAGTGACGGGCTCACATTTGGAATTAGCCATAGACAGCCGACCCAAGAACTTGGGAATAGGGAAAAAAAGGAATGCACACGGGATTGACTCTCTAAGAATCCAGACTAGACTCTTAAAGAAAGTTTTACTGAGAGTTTTAATCTTCCAAAGTCTCATGCAAAAGATATATATGTGATGATGGAAAGCTGTCCAGAAAATGAATGCCTTGTATGTGTGGGAATGATGATTCTGTAAAGGCACTTTTCAGAAACCAGGAATTATTTTGCAACTAAAATATGAGGTAGAAATTTGATGTGGATAAATATTGAAAAACCTGCACAGTAGTTTTATCTGAACTATCCAAAACTTTGTGATTTGAAAATTGGAGTGGAAACTAGATTATATATTTTACAATCCTTATGTCACTTAACTGGGACAAATACCCTGCATTAAAGGACCCTCACTAAAATCCAGGACTTTTCAAATGAGCATTTTAAGCACTCTAAATGCCCAACTACATTGGTTACCTTAAATAAATCCTAGCACATTCATAAATGGAATGTCCTCCTACCATTAAAGTTAACGACTAGGTCTATGTTTACTGACAGAAAGTTATGTTCCATGTATGTAGTGAAAAAAAGTTACAAATTAATGTGCCTATCATGATTCAGTTTAAATAGAGAAAGGAGGAGAGAAAAAGTGGGCAAAGTTGTGAAAGATAAATGAATGAATGCACGAGTGGATGAATGAATGAATGCATGAATGGATGAGTGAATGAATGATAAGCTATATTCTCTTCTATAGTTTTGGGGTTTTTTATTTATCCCTTTTGTACTTTGTTACTGTCTAAAATGTTAATGTTTTAATTTTATAATCAGCAAGGACAATGATACTATTTTCATTTTGCAAAGAAAATTATACTATAATATGTTTGGTTTATTTATTCTTAAGATTTATATTTTATCTAATTTTAAAAATTCTTCTTGAGCATATTTATACATTTGATAGCAATAAACATCTTTACCTTGGGGTCATCACTGAGGAAGAATACAGAACAAGACCATGGTATGCTCAGCTATAACACATAAACAAAGAGTTGATGGACAGTATTCAAGAGATTGTTTTCAAGAGAGATTTAGCAAGGTAGATTTATACCAAAAGAAAATTTACCTATCAATAAGAATCTTCGGTATTTTAAATAAAAAATTCTAGACAAAAAGAGAGGCCAGAATTTATATTTTAACCCAAACTTCTCAGAAAATTTAAGTTAGAGCTGGAAATGGTATTTCTTTGGTTGCTCTTAAGCTGTGCACATGACTGTGGACTTCCAGGCTTTCAAAAACTACCATGTGTTTCATAAAATTGAGTACACTGAGAAGGGTGAGTGAGATGGAGAAGTTAATTTAAATTGTCATTGCTAATGTTTTCTTCTCTTCTTTCCTTTTTACTACAGAATGTTTACACAGTTAGCTTCCCCAAGCCTGGCTTTGTGGAGCTGGCCCCTGTACCAATTGATGTAGGAACAGAAATCAACCTGTCTTTCAGCACTAAGAATGAGTCTGGGATCATTCTCTTGGGAAGTGGAGGGACACCAGTGCCACCTCGGAGAAAACGAAGACAAACTGGACAGGTATTCTCACACCTAGTTAATAATGCATTTTACCTAATGTGTATATGAAACAATCTTTTTATAAAGGGATTGGTGATGCATTGAGGGTTTGTAAATTGCTCTTTCTTACATTTTTAGATTTACATTCTTTATTTCCACTATCATCTCCTTAGGACAATTATCTCCACTAAGATTTTCCTGTTGGTCAATTCCAAGGTAATGAGGGAAATGCAATTTCAGACCACATTGGACCTTATACCCACTAGATTGGTAAAACATCAAGAAATATGATAATATCAATTACTAGCTAGATGTGGATCAAAGGGCATCCTTAATCACGGCTAGTGGAAAGAGTAGATTGTTACAGCCACTTTGGAAAACAACGTGGCAGTACATTGTGAAGTTAAACATGTGCACACATTACAAGCCAGCAATTTCATTCCTAGGTCTAGCCCCAAACTCTTGCACATGTGCACAATGACACCTGAACAAGAATGTTCATAGCAGCATTTTTTATAATAGCACAAAAACTAGAAACAACCCAAATGTTCATTGGTTGGAGAACAGATCAACTCGGGCACTTCTACATAAGGGGATATTAAGCAGTAGTAAAAAGGAATAAATTATCACTAAACATAACAACATGGATGAATCTTAAAACCTAAATAGAATTTTTTTAAAATGAACTGCATACTGTCTGACAACATTTTTATAGATTTCTAATATAGGTAGCACTAACCAACCTACTGTTTATAGATATATATGTGAATTTTCAAAAATACTTAAGAAAAACAAGGGAATAAAATCTATGTTAACAAGTGTTGGTAAGAATGTAGAGAAAGGGAAACTCTTATGCACCATTGGTGGAAATGGACATTGGTGCAGCCACTGTGGAAAACAGCATAGTGGGTCTTCAAAAACTGAAAAATAGAACTACCACATGATCCAGCAATCCTACTTATGGGTATTTAATCAAAGGAAACAAAAACATTAACTCAAAAGAGATATATACCCCCATGTTCACTGCAGCATTATTTACAATAGCCAAGACATAGAAGCAAGTTAAGTGTCCATCCATGGATGAATAGATAAAAAATGTGGCATGTACATGTATATAGTTAGATAGATATAGATATTTCTATATATAGATATTCCTATATATAAATTTTATATATATATATATCCATGTTATATATGGGGTCTTTCCAGAAGGTATCCAGCCATGTAATAAGAGAAATAGAGGCATTTATTGAAGAAGACACAAAAACATTGTATATACGACAATGATGCCTCAGTCCCCTTTAAAGTAGACTTCTTGGGCCCTCACACAGTTCTCCCAGTCTCCATCAGCTGCCCCATCATATTTTCCTGAATCTCATCAATGGTATGAAATCTCTTCCCTTTCAAAGATGATTTTAGTTTTGGAAAAAGCCAGAGTTGCTGGGAACCAAATCTGTCTGTAGGGAGGCTGAATCACCTGGGTGATTTGATGTTTTGCCAAAAAACTCTGCATGAGACGTGATACATGAGCAGGTATGTTGTCATGACGAAGCTATGAATCACCAGTTGCCCATAGCTGTGGCCTTCTGAATCACCTGAATAGTTTCCACAGAGAAATGTTCAAGATTAAGGCAAAATCTGATGTAGATCCATTGCTCTACTCAGTCATTTTGAATGTGACAGCCACACAGTACACATTCTCACTCAACAGTGTCTACAGCCTCCACTGACTAGTACAGTGAAGTTGTCTTTGTTCATGCATGCACATTCCAGGCCACTCTCCTTGGCTGCCAGGTTACATCAATGTCAGGCAAACCATTCTCGTTATAGTAATAATGACTGGACTTTTCCCAGAAAGATCTCATATATATTCCTATTTTATATATGTAGATATTCCTATTATATGCATATATATATATATATATATACTGTATATGTTCACTCCCAAGTATATTATTCAGCCATAAACATGAGGAGCTTTTGTCATTTACAACAACATGGATGGATCTTTCTTAGCATTTCTTATGCTAAGAAATGAGTAAGACAGAAAGGCAAATATCACATGACCTAACATATGCTAAATCTAAAAAAAAAAAAAGAACAAAACAAAACAACACAACAAACTCCTAGATACAGAGGACATATTGGTGTTTGCCAGAGGCAAGGGGCAGAGGGCAGGTGAAATGGGTGAAGGAGGTTCCAAGGTGCAAACTTCGGGTATAAAACAAGTGAGTCATGGGGATGAAATGTACAGCATGGCAAACGCCGTTAGTAATATGGTGTTGCATATTTGAAAGAAGGTCAGAGAGTAGATCTTAAAAATTCTCATCACACACACACAAATGCTGTATCTCTGTATGGCAACAGATGCTAACTAGACTTCCTGCGGTCATCCCTTCACAGTAATCTACAAGTATTAAATCATTATGTTGTGTACCTTAAACAAATGTAACATCGTATGTCAATTACCCCACAATTAAAGGCCAAGAAGAGGAGGAGAGAGAGCTCCCTCCCCCGGGGAAGGCGCCCAGGAGAGGCCTGTGAGGACGCAATGGGAAGGTGGCCAGCGGCCCGCCAGGGCGGGGGCTCCTGCTGGCTCCGTGCTCTCCGACTTCCAGCCCCCAGTACTATGAGAAAATAAACTTCTGTTGTTTAAGCCAAATAATAATGACAATGATTTTTAAAAAGCAAGGAAATAAAATTCACGTTAGTGATTACCTCTGAAATGGGGAAGCTGAGAAATGGGACTGGAAAGAAACTCAAAGGAGAGGCAAAAGTATCACCTTTTAACCTAAATGGTAGATTTTCAGGTGTTCACTGAATTGTAAATTGTGCTGTTTGTCCCTTACGTTGTGAGAAGTGCATCAAATGGTCAAATAAAGACAGGTTTTTTAAGGGTAAAGGGAGAAAAAAGTGTTATTTTATCTCATTCCTTACTGCACATAAACACTGAATATATAAAAATATAAATGTACTCAAAGTCTTTATCTCTTAATCCTGAAAATGAAATTTTTTATCTCTATTCCAAATCATAAACTAGTTATAACAAGAGGACCAGATCAAACATTCTGAAATACATTTCCACTGAAGGATACTCATCAAATATTTAAGCACTAACTTATTGGCTCCAATTGCTCCTCATCAGGACTAAATAAATGGCCTGAGTCACTAGCTTTTGGGATAATCCTTAAAATAGAACGTGATCCTATTAAAACAATCAAAATGAGGCAATATTAAGTGCTATCGTACAAAGTAAATTAAAAATTACAATTTAATGTTACAGTGTTTTAATGATAATGTACATGTAGCTATTAAAATCTCATAATAAATGCTATCTGAAAGAGGAACCCATGTTAAACCGTTCATGTCCATTGTAGAATCAATGCTGGTTACATTGACATATTTTATTTTTTTCTAAGCCAAGAGTTTTGATGCCCACAGGGCTATTTGTGATAGTAATCTGCTAAAGAGGTTTGAGATACCAAACCATCAATCAGCTAAGAAAGTTTTAATTGAGTGAGTAGATGGATGGTGAGTACTGACGCAGTCCTGTGGACATTCTGTGTTGGACTCACAGCTATATAGACAATTTAGTCAATCAGTGAAGACGAGATGTTTGATTGAACCGTCTCCACCACCACAGGCCACTTGTGAAGGCCCAAGCGACCCTCGTGCAGCAGGTGCCCCCGTGCTCCACGAGGAAGGGAGCACACGTGGAATCAGCTCTGGAGATGAGGACTGCATTCAGGCTCGGTGGGGCTCCTAATCTGATCGCAAAGCCATGCTGGTTGCTATAGTAACAGTAGCAAGAAGAAAGCAGGCATGTTTGTGGATAAAAAATTGTCTTCCTTCTTTCTAAATGAGGGAGACAAGTTACATATTGGTGATAGCGATCTATTCTGCCAGCTCAGAGAAGAAATTGAAGTCTAAACATTCAAAATGCCATGAGGTTGGGAGTCAGACCTGATTTCTAGAAGCTGACTGTCCACTCGTGAATATAAGGGAAGGGATTTTTGTTAACACCCTTTGTTTCCTGATGGGTTTTGTGAGTTAGAGACCCAATGCAAGCACAGCTGTTAGCTTCAGTATTGCAGATTTGCTTTGCAGAGGCTGCTATATTGCTACACCCACTTTCCACATCATCTAATAGGCAAAAACGGTAATTGATTAAAAAACTATTTCCAGCTGCTTTAAATACTGTGTTTAAGAAAATATTGAATCTTAACTTCTCGGGTAAGATCTCGAAGCAGATGAATCTGCCACCTAATGCTAAGTCATGGATGAGATTTCCTCTTTAATCTTAAATGACCATTTGCTGTTCCAGGCCTATTATGCGATATTCCTGAACAAGGGTCGTCTGGAAGTGCATCTCTCCACAGGCACACGAACAATGAGGAAAATTGTCATCAAACCAGAGCCCAGTCTGTTTCACGACGGGAGAGAACACTCCGTTCATGTGGAGAGAACTAGAGGGTAACAATAGCCCTAGAGAACCTCCTGTGGTAACTAACATGAACCCCTCTGCCGCACTCGTCTCTGTCTGGGCCTCTGTGTGTGTGGACATGCAATGCATCGCCAAACTATTGAGTAGCTTAATTTCTTCTTTACCTTTTGTACTTCAGAAACCTCATTTACCTTGGCCCTTAGGAGTTCCACTCTTAACATTTTTATTCTGTGCCATTCCCTTCTCCACCTTGGGAAAAAGCAAATGTATCTTCTGAAGCTATAGATAAGAAAAATCCTCCCTCTGCACCTCTCAAATATTCCCTTCTCAAATAAGGTATGCACACAGCGAAACGTGCAGAATAGCTCAGCCGGAGCCAGCAGCCTTTGGCAGCTGCTATTTCATTCAGGTTCCAAAGCAGTTATGGCAGCTGCTTAGAAACCTGTCACAGATACAGAACGTGCAGCAGCTGCAGGGCCTACTGAGCCCTGGCCCCCTCCAGGGTGTGCGGGGTCCCTGCAGCGTTGCTTTGTGAGGGAGCAGAGTGGAGGGAGAGAAGGCAAAGGCCGCTGTACTGCCATCGTTGCGTGGAGACAGATCCGCAGCAGATCCGCAAGAGCACTTGCTTCCCAGCCCTGAGTCAGGGAACTGGACTTAATAGTGCTATAAGCGGGCCTCTCATTTCTTCAGAAAGCTTAGTACTTACTTTATTGGGAAAATCATCTGTACTTTTCATCCAAATGTTGTATGACAGCTCAGGCCCTGATTTGTTTAGGAGGACAATTGGAAAAAAAGAATACAGGAGCCCAGAGACATCAGCCTTTCAAACCAGCAATCCATTTATGAAAGTGCAAACATAGAAAAGAACTGGAAAGCAAATCTGATGAAACCTCTAAAACTCTAAACAGAGAAGAGTTTTAGAGAGAGCAACAGTACGCATATGTAGGAAGTGTTCAAGTAAGAAGACAGTATTCTATAATTTAAAACCTACGTTTTCTAATTATCCTCTCGTGTGGACAACAGGTTTAGATAAGTATCAAAAATTTCTTATCTTCTAAGCTAATGATAAAGCTTCCCTTGGCTCATTTTTTCATTATTTATATAGAGCCTTAGGTCCTGAGCCAAATTGATACTAAGTATTCTTGCAGAGCATCTACTGGCTAAAACGTTTAGGAACCATGATTAAGACAAATGAGGGATCGATATTTGGATAAAATAAGAACTTTTGCTAATCTAATAGCCAGATATTGCAGTCATGGTCTCTAAGGAGAAATAGAAACTGAATTTTCTCATCTGGGAATGCTCTAGGGTACTGATTTTACCTATCTTTTACACTAGATGCCAGGTTCTTCGACAAACTTTAATCCTTCTCATTCTGGGAAGGACTTTGGAAAGGTTTTAACTTTAAAGAATTTTAGTAATAAGCTAACTTTTCAGAAATATAGTTGCCCCCAAATCATTAAAAATATGTGATTTTGTAGACAAAGGATTCTGACATTCCCAAGTGCATTACAATGTTGTGCTAAGGTGTCCTTTTAGCAGGTGTTTCTTCAAGAAGGGCATTTGATTATGCCAACTTCACAGCTGTTGGCCATCAATCCAACCTTTATTTGATTAAGCTCAGTGTATAGTACATCACTGAAAGCTGATCATTCAGTTAATTGGCCATATAAACAAACAGTTTTGCCATTTGCTGTTAATTAAAGGATAATGTATTGGGCATATTAGTGCAGTTACTGAACTCTTTGGCATAGCAAGAACACATTTGCTATCATAATGTCTCATTCAGTACTCTAAGGTCAAAAACAATCATCACCTATCCTTTAAGCAAGTGCTACAATTAACTGATTAACTGGACATTGCTTATGACCCTAAGAACTTCACCTAAAAACATTTTTAATGCTTCATACCTATTCTGTGGCATGCTCTGTGTCAAATAGTAGGCAAAAATTATGTCCCTTAATTGTTTAATGCATGTGAGATATGTATCCCTTCTTCATGGATGAGGAAATATTAACTAACTTGCTCAAAATCACATATCTAGTAAATAAGAGACAGGAATTAAACCCATGTATGTATGTATGTGTGTGTATGTACGTATACATATGTGTGAGTGTATATATATATACATATATACACATACATATATATATGACATTAACAGTTCCATCTGTACTGGCCAACTATTTATTCTTACCCTTTTTTTGTGACCTCAAAGATTTGTACTGCTTTATGTTGATTATAATACTCTTATTAATTTGGAAATATTTGCTTTCTCCCAACACTTTTCAGACCATAAATGTCAATTATCATTTCTTTTCCTAAAACTCTGATAAGATGGTCATTTTAATGGCATCTCACAAAATTATTGGATTTTTACCAAATTAAGAGGTGAACTTTTCAAAATTGCATGTGGCCTTTTTTCTCCCTTTCTGCCTGTCTTTACGCCTCCTCCCTCATTATCTTCCCTTTTCTGTCCTTTAGTCTGTAAGAATCTCACTTTCGTCACTCTTGTTTCTAATTCCGTGGTACTCCAGCGACCCCTACTTCTAAAGCTGCTTTGCCCTCTTATCCTTCTTCTAGAGTCCATAGATATGGCCAGTGGTTTTAACTGGACAAAAGCATTAAACCCGAAGAGCCTGGAGTAGATGCTTAGGCTCTTCTGAGCATGCGTTCTTTATACAGGTATAGAATTAGGCTAAGACCATGAAGTTGGATCAGATATTTCATGAGTACTTTGGGTTTTCCAGAATGGGATCATGATTTAGACATGACAACCAAGATATTTCTATCTTACCATCCAAAATATGTTCCATTAAAAAAGTTTCAAGTTTTGTTTTTCATGTAAATTATAAATATTAGGGTGCTTCTCTTAATATCTTCATCCACATATACAATCCAGTTGGTGGCGGTTTGGAAAAGAATCTTAGACCAACAACCAAACAAAAAAGAAACAGAAACTCCAAGAATCTACCATTGAAGTTATAGGAAAATACAGCTTAACAATCATGATACAAATAGTAATGTAATTTTTATTATAGTGGTATTTTTGCATATAGTAGGCCCTCAATAAAGAATTGTTGAATCGATAACTTGAAAAACAGGAAACAGACCAGAATCATAATGGATATGTTGATTATGTCCCTCTTTACAAAAGAACTAAATAAATGATCTAGAATTGATGCTCCTGGAGTGTAAATTATAAGCAGGATTTAGCTATAGTCTTCTAGCAATGCTCTTATTAAGTAACACAGCCTCAGTGCAATGCCTTAATGTTTTCCACTGTTTAAACTATGTGTTTTTATCTTCATGTTACCAATGAATAAAATAAGACTGAGCAAAATTAAATAACTGGCCCAAGTTCACACAGTCAGTAAATTTACACATCTACTTAATTTCAGTCTGTTCCTCCTGAAAGCTCATGTTCATTCTACCTCTCTGCCCTGTGATCTAGTAAGAAAGGACAACAGTGGTGTCCTTTCAGAGGTGTCTGGTTTGGTAAGAACCAGACTAATGAGTATACATCAGAAAGAGAAGAGCCTCTGGCTCTTTAAAAATTCTAATCAAGAACAAAGATTTGCTCTCCTTGGACAATCTTTAATAGTGGCTTAAACCCCTCATGAAAACCCTTATGAATAATGTTATAACATGTTAGTAAGAGGATGCTTTTAGCAAGAGAACAAAAGGTATTGCAGGAAGGAGAGAAGAGGACTACTTAGTGAATCACACCTATGTGATTCACTAAGTGAGTGGTGTTCAAAGTCTCATAGAACCACCAGTATCCTTAGCAATGAGGTAGAACCTCCTGAATTTTGCCAACATGCTCTCCCAGAGTCTGGTAAAAAACAAACAAACCAACAAATGGTATGCCATTTCCCCTTATTTTTCCTTTGAAACTAAATTCATCCTACCTCCTCTATATCCCGTGAACCGTGACATTTTCAGCTACATCATAATCCATTTTTTGTTCCATTCTGTTACATTCGAATTGTCCCAAAGTGGACCAATTTCTCAGTGCCATTTCAGAGCATCTTTGCCCTGGTTTATTGTTTCTAGTTCTGCATCTGGGTTTTATTCCTGATAAAATCAGGTAAGTTAGCATTTCAGGACTGAGTTTTCCACTTAGGTACTTTGGTTTCCTCCCCAGATATGAAGTAAGTTTTCAGCAATCCATTTACAAACCTCGGGCCAGTGACTAACACTGATGACTAATAGCCCCATGATGACTGGTGCTGAAGATTAAAAGCTCCTTCTAGAACAAAAGAGAAAATGCCTTTGGTCATTTTCATCATCAGAACTCTTTGTCTGCTTCTGACTCTTTGCCCCCAGGATTCAAGGATTGTGGATAAGTAGCATGAGGTTCTCAATTAGTAGTGTGTAAGTTATCTCTCATAAGCAAATTAGGGAAATTGGTGAACAGCCACTGAGGGAAATCGTTGCAAGGAACAATTAGTTTGGTGTTCTTTCCTGCCTCTTCTATTCAAAAGCCCGTGGCTACATTCTTTATAAAATGTCCTGTGTCTGCTGTCAGTTCCTGCAATCGAAACTCTCAGGAGTACATTTTGTCCCCTAGCAAGAAGATAATAGCTAGCACAAACCAAGAAATAGCCAAATGAAAAGTGACCCCGTGCTGTGCTAAACCCACTGAGCCTTATCCGATTAGACATTGCTACACAGTACAGAAGCTTCACTCTACGGACTCCTGTGTTGGGCTGTAGACCTCGATTGTCAACGTCACCAGAGGCTAATGTTGCAGCTACACCATTGCCTCTTTTAAGTAAACTCTCAGGCATAGTTAACAAGGAAGGCAAGGGAACAAGATACTGAGAAACAGCACCATTTGTTTATTGTAGAATACCTAATCATCAAATTGGGACTCATTGAAAAAGCTACGGGAGGGAGGGGTCAGGGTGGGATGAAAAAGTTTGATTTCCAATTGTGCTGGATGTTATGTGTTTTATACTTGTTTATTTTAAATGTTTTATCAGCATCTTTACTGTTCAAGTTGATGAAGACAGAAGGCATATGCAAAACTTGACAATAGAACAAGCGATTGAAGTGAAAAAGCTTTTTGTTGGCGGTGCACCACCTGAGTTTCAACCTTCCCCACTCAGAAATATTCCTCCTTTTGAAGGCTGTGTATGGAACCTTGTAATTAACTCTGTGTGAGTGAATCTCCTTGCTTTTTTATGAGAACCATTGTTGCATCCACACTGGCCAAAACCATGGGGCAAAGGGAAGCGTGAAGAGCTTCAAGTTTTAGAAAATTGCACTGATGGCCATTGAAAAGCAGGAGGGGGTTGATTCAATTGTAAGGAAGAAGACAATGAAAATTAAGAAAAATAAGAAATATTTCATTTTAATTATGTTCCTTTAGCCCCATGGACTTTGCACGGCCTGTATCCTTCAAAAATGCAGACATTGGTCGTTGTGCTCATCAGAAACCCCGTGAGGATGGAGATGGAGAAGTTCCAGCTGAAATAGTTGGAACCCCAGCCTTCCCAATGCCCACCCCAGCTGTGGCACATGTAAGTGTTTATAGCCCACTGCTTTCTGATTCCTGGTCATGTTACGAAGGAAGGTTATCCAGGGTACTTCCCATTCTCCCTTGCTAGAATTAAAGGATGCCTATGAAATCCTATTCCCCTCACATATTCCTTGGCTGACTGTCATTTGTATATCTGGCTGCTTTTAATTTCCCTGTTTATAAAATGGCACATGTTTTCAGATGAAAACACAGAAATGTCTTCAGGATCAAGAATAAAATCTCCCTATAATACCACCACACAGAGGCAACCCTATTTACATTTTACATAGCACATCTCAGTTGGGTGGTCTGCTTTTAAAAACTGGTAATAACATAATTCAAACTGTTCCTAAACATCACATAAATATGATTATGTACGTGCTTATGTGTGTGTCTGTGTGCATGCAAAGACGCAAAATATTTCAGAGTATGGAAGATAATGTATCCTTATTAGAGCAGGGGCTCCAGAGCCAGGCCGCCTGAGTTCACATCCCTGCACTCTTACCTACTGTCTGTACGCATTTGGGAAATCTGCTTAGCCAGCCTATTCCTCGGTTTCCTCATCTGCACAATGAGGATACTAACAACACATACATCAAAGAGTTATTACTAGAATTTAAAAAGATAATGTGTGTTAAATGCCTAGTATATACTAAACATTTACTAAATGACACAATTATTATTTAGTAATGATCATAATGATGGCTTTGAAGTGTTCACTCTGTGCCAGCCACTACCCAAACAATTTCCACTCAATATTATATATAATTTTCCTAACAACTCTATAAAATACATATGATTCCATGTTTAGTTGTATTGATAAGAACTAGCTAGCCTCAGTAACTCACCCACTGTCGCAGCCAGTAAATGGCAGGATAAGAATTTTAATCCAGTGGGTCTGACTCTAGAATCTGGCTTCTTATCACTGCAACACTCTATTGTTAGGATTTATTTTACTGCTTCCAATTGTGGACCACTTAGAGTGTGTTCAGTTTTTTACTATTAGAAACTACATTCTGTTGAACACTGTACAACAAACTCTCATTGTTTCTGATTATTTTTTTAAAGATAGATCCTTAGGCAGTGAATTATGAGGCCAAATGATGAATATGCCTAAGGCTCCCAAAGCATATATCTGAATTGCTTTCTCTAAAGGTTGTATTAATTTACATTCTCACTATCAGCGTGTCAGGGAGCATGGAGCTCACTACAGTCTTGACAACACATGCATCATATTTATAATGCTTCCCAATTGATGGGCAGAGTAATGTTGAGTGCAGATTTTGAAAACTCTTGAATATTTTATTCTCTTCCTTAGTTGCCATGATGGAATTGGTAGTTCAAAAAGTGTGCTTCTTGCCACTAGAAATATTGATTAAACGAGAAGCCAGATAATCATCTTTCAGGAAAAGCAGGCATTTACTCCAAACATCATTTTATCCCCTGTAAAATGTGGATGGTACACCTACCTCGCCTACCACATGGGGTTACTATAAGAATCAAATGAGGTATTCTGTGTGGAAGTCCTTTGATGATACACAAACAAACAAAATTGAAACAGACTGGTAGATAAAGAGAACAGACTGAGGGTTGCCAGAGGGGAGAGGGGTTGGAGGACTGAGTGAAAAAGGTGAAGGGATTAAGAAGTACAAATTGGTAGTTACAAAACAGTCATAGCCATGTAAAGTATGGCATAGAGAATACAGTCAATAATACTATAACAACTATGTATGGTGCCAGGTGGGTGCTGGAAATATCAGGGGGACACTTTGTAAAGTTGATTGTCTAACCACTATGCTGTACACCTGAAACTAATACAAAATAATATTGAATGTAAACTGTAATTGAAAAGTAAAATTTTAAAACTGTTAAAGGTTCAACAATTAATTTTTATAACAAATATTTTTTAAGAGCCTACTAAATGCAAAGGTGAATAGGATACCACCATGCTACCCAGAGAGAGGGAAAGAGAGAAAGAGGCTAAAGACAGAGATTTGAGAAAGAGGTATTAACATCAATCACACAGTAAGCAAGTATGTGTGGAGGTCAGTCAAGGTCAGTGCTGAGTGTGAGCAGAAGACAGAGACCACTGGCTTTCAAGATTGAAAATTGGAAGCATGGCAGGGGACACCATTAAACTCCATCCAAACAAAATGGCTAGTGGTACCTACAAGTGTGAAATAAGGTCTATCAAATGCAAATTTTAATGTTACCACACTCTTCTATTTTAAAATCTTTCCATTAAAACATATAAAATAAGGATGACATACTCATGGCACATGTACGTGAAGAAAACATTTTTAAGTCCGAATTTGGATTTAGGAATTTATTTAAGAATTAAAACTTACAAGGTAACTCCCGAAGTGGGAACTGCCTGTGCACGAGTCCCCTGCCTGTTTGGGCGCCGCTAACAGGAGCCACCTCCTCCTCTTCTCAGGTCTTTCATTTCCTTCTCATCCTCACACCTCACCCCCAGCAACCCGTAGCACGAGGACAGTCACTATGCTCTAAGGCAATTTTAGAGTATCATGAGAAATCCCTGCCTTGTGAAATAGGTTATATTGATCCTATTATTAATATATGTCAGAACATCATAGATCTGAGAGCATTTTAAGCATATTATCTCATTTGATAGTGTGGTAGCATCTTCTCTTCATATTACTCTCTGAATCTGTAGCCCACTTAGAGATGAATGAAACATCCACACATAGGATATGTGCGGCAAGGGGTGGGGGTAAATAAGAGGCTGGACTTGCAGTATTACAGAAATTTGTCAAAATGTGACACATTCTCTGCAAGCATCTGTGGTGTTGATAGCGCGTCTTTATAACCAGCATGGCCTGCATGGTTTTGTATAGGACAAATAGACTACATTTTTTTTTACTTGAATGTTATTAGAAAGTTGAACTTAGAACCTCCAAGTTTAAAATGTGAGCATTAAGAAGAGCCGTGTAAGTAGCCTTGAAGAGTCCCTGTGCTGTTAAGAGCTCTTGGGATTTGGAGGGAAAAAAGTGAGCAGAGAAGGAAAAAACAGCAAAGAAAGCTCTTTCTCCAGCAGCTTTAATGCTACAAATTTAAAAGCTAAGTACAGTCCAGACCAAAGGATAAATCGATTGGATACTGATATGTGTTTAAAGGGGAAACACACATTTTTCCCTACTGCAAACTATCTCTATTCAAGCATTAGTGTATAAATGTTACTGCAAATGCCCAGCACTTAACAAAAGAGCTCATGTGCAGGGAGTTAACATATTCAGGTCCTCAATAAACAGCTTGAGGGGGGATTTTATATTTCAGAACATTAAAGTCACTGCTGCAAAAAGTTATCTTCCACTTAGTATTCAACTATAAAGAAGACCCACAAAGAAACACCCAACTTCTCTGCTGTGTTTTCACCCACATATGTTACAGGGGTTATTGACTCATGAAAAAAAGAAAATGGTGCCATTTTTATGATGATCTGTCACTTGGTGCTTTCAAGAACAAAGGTGCCAGTTGTGATAAACGCAATTTAAATCTCCGCTCAGGACCAATCTAAATCCAAGTCTTACCCACCAGTCATATGCTATCTGAAGCCAATAACTCATTTCCAAATGTCAACCAACAACCAGCCGTTGGAAATGACCACTGCTTTGTTCTGACCTGAAATTAAATGAGTGACAGCGTGAGGGTGAAAACGTTCCCACCCCGTTGCTAATCGGCCGCGCCTCCCCCTTCTCGAACGTGGCTTTGGGGAGGCTCGCTCCCTCAGAACCCTCTCAACCATGCCACTGCCCCAGACAACAGGGGAGCCGCCACATTCGGCTCCGCCCCCCAGCCCTGTCTCTCCTCAACTTGTCACCTGCCCAGCACAGACAAACAGGACGCGAGCAGATCCTGTCCTTTCACACCACATTTTCCCCCTCTGTCCTCGTAGTACTTTAAACAAGCCCCACAAGGTGGCAGGATTGTAACGCGCTGAGATTGATGAGCCTCTACTGAGACGGAATTTTTTTTCTACTGTTATTATTGTTGTTTGAACACATTGCAGAGATCAGTGTTTCCAAAATAACCCAGGTAGAGTATCACATCCCTAAAGATGATGCCTCCTCTGAAGTTCACATTGGCTTGGAGGAGGAAGATTGATCTTGAAACATCCTTTGAAGGGTCCTTAAAATTAAAAGACTTCTCCCCCTCACCCTCTCTCTGCGCTTAGATTTCTGGAGGGCCGAAAATGTCCTTAGTGACAAGATCGTTTTATGATTGCGGAAGCCACGGGGCACTTTCTGTTCCACCTCATGAGTTCCCCTTTAAAAATGTAGAAGGGAAAAAAGACTTGAGAGGCAGGGTGAGCAGCTCCACCCTCTGAGGGGCCCGCGGGAGGAGGAGAAGGCAGCCGGCAAACCGGCAAACCACTGGGAACATGCCGTCCCTGGTTTCGGATTCACCCAGGGGAAAGTGACGCAGAGCAGAGCCGCGCCAATCGGCCCGTCACCCCTCACCAAACGTGAGCAGAGAGGCAGACTAGCACAAAAATCATTACCAGGTTAGAGGCTGGAGCACTGCCTTCCCATTTAAACCTTCAAGTAGATAAATATAAACCCTCTTACCTTACACTGGCACTTCTCAGTTTTCTTCCAACTGCCAGTTTTATAAAGGAAGGTAATAGAAGTTTTATTAGAGCAGTATCCCTATATCCATCCCGTCACAAATTAATGATAGTAAACATCAATTTAGATGTCCTTAAGAACTATGAACTTAGCATAACAGCTTGATACTCTAAGGTTACCTAGAAGAGTGTTCCATTTGTTTTCCCTCTGCTGTAACAGGACCAGTGTGAGAACACTGTTTTATTAGCCACTGCTTCTCTCTGCTTCTCAAGAGCTGCCTGTTGCAAAAGTGAAGCAGGACACCCTCCAAGAGGTGCTCTGCTTCCTAAGTTTCAAGTGGGTGTGTCATGTAATGCCTTTTAAAAGAATCCTTAGAAAATCCCCTCTTCTGCTCAAAGGATTTTCTAAAATAATATAAGCAGGGCTTTCTTTTAATTTAAAAGATGTGATAGTATTGATGAAGAACTGCTTTCTGCTCCACTCAGCACCAGTGCTGGACGTACCTGTCCGGTCTACCTAAGCCAGGTTATCATGGTGCTCGGGCCACAGTGCCCCAAACCTGTAAAGACAAAAGCTCTCCGTGGTGAATAGCTGCCCCCAATACCTAATCTCTACAATGGTCACTTTGATAATTTTTTTAAAATTATATCAGAAAGTTATTTTATTTATATGTAATAACTAGATGAATGACCACAGTGGTTACAAAACTACGGAAATGCCTGGGGGTGGTTATTTTAAGCTGCACATGATTGTTCCTTGACCCCTCGGTACCCATTGGCCTTTTCCATCCTCAGTTTTCAGAGCTGAGGGTTCAGAGATGTTTTAGCCAAATTCTGCCCGGGAAGAACTCCCCGCAGGTAGGATTCTCTTCGAGATTTCTGAGGACTGCAGGCTGGCTGCTTACATTTGTTGTGAGGTCCTCTGCACAGAAAATATCGTGAGAGGGTGAAAAATGATTCCAATTCTATTAATAGCATCATTGAAGGCTGAAAACATTAAGCTACTAAAGGCTTGCTCTTTGGGCTCATTTTGCAGGCAGTGTAATAAGAAAGGTGCCACATGTTGACTCCAAGAGAGGCCATTCAGCTGTATGAATAAATAGCACTCCACTGTTCCACCCACTGGGTTTTTGCATATCTGTGTAAATTTCAGCAACAGCCTGCCCTTTGTAAACTGACCATCTCCTGGAAAGCCAGAAGGGAAATACTACTTCCACGAAGACCAGTTTTATAGCCTTTCAAAACACTTAAAGCCTTTCACCTGCTGTGGCAGAGAGCTCCATTTGACTGAGCTCAAGAGAAAAGAGAGCCAGGCTTTTCCTCATCAAGTGAAAATTTCCTGTGTGCCGATGAGTCATCCCCAAAGCACACTATTTGGAAAGAACATTCCGCATCAAAAGCCTGCCTTGGGCTGTTTGAGAACCTCTGCTGAGTCAGCACTCACTGGGGCAGTGGCTGATCCAGAGCCATTAAGTGCAGATCTTAAAAACAGATGTGTTGTTTGAACTGTGCACATTATATATTTTCTCATGTACTGTGTGTTCTAAAAGACTTCCTAAGCAGTTTGTGCATTGAACTATTTTGTGAAAACAGGGAACAGAGAAAGGAATTGTGGCATGGTGTGGTAATTTGAGGAGCCTTGATTAGCTATTGAGCTGAGGGTTACAGTAGCCAGCTGTGGTCCATCTCACCAAGAAGGGCTATTATAATTTGCAGGGACCAGAACAAAATGAAGATGCAGGGCCCCTTGTTCAAAAATTACCAAGAATTTCAAGTTAGCAACAGCAGAGCCTAAAACCGAGTTACTGCACAGGCACCAAGCTTCTGAAGCTGGTCCTGCACCAAGCTCTCCCTTGTAAGCACCCTAGGAAGTTGATCTTTGAGCAGTGGCAGTTGAAATGGTGTATGGTGAGTTACATTTTTTAAAAGTGCTGTGTTGCCTAGCAACTGCTTAAGGACCTGAATGGGCTGACTTGCAAGTTTAGATACACCATCTTGAAAGTCTAAATTCATGGAAACCTTCTAGTAGACCGATAATTTTCAAGAAAAAGTAATATAGTGGGAGATAGATATGGGGAGGGCAAAAGAGAACACATTTTTCTACTCTTATAACCCGGTGCCTAGCTTGTCATTTTTCCTGTTCAATCTTCTAAGAATAAAAAACTCTTCATAATTGAAAGGGGAATTCCAGTTTTCACAGAAATGTGAACATTTTTCTTTAAAGGATAATGAAAACATTAATAAATCAATGAGTTTTTATTTGGCAATTCAAGGGTGCAATATAAGAAAACTGATTCACATTCACCAAACATTTAATAATAAGTACCTGCTATGTAGTAGAATAGAGAGAGGAATGAGAAACTGTTTTTATTCTTAAGGAAGTTAAAAAGAGTATGTGAGAACATTAAAATATAAGAAACTATTAGCAGCATCACATGTTTAAAGAACAGAGTCCATAACGTCCCCTCTTTCTCACCTTGGTATTTTACAGGGTCTTTGTGCTGCAGAATCAGAACCAGCTCTTTTGATAGGGAGCAAGCAGTTTGGGCTCTCGAGAAACAGTCACATTGCCATTGCATTTGATGACACCAAAGTGAAAAACCAGTATGTATTATTCTGCGACATGAAACAAGAACCAATAGATGAAAGTGCTAAGTATTTGCATTTATTCAATCAACTGCATGTATTAATAAATGAAGTGACCTTTTTAAAATTCCCTGAGTATAGTCAGGAATAGAATTTTTTGTCTGGGCCTGAGGAGCCCCGTATAGGAAATCAGCAGACCTGGAAAGTCCTCATCTTGGGCAAGGTTTAACCATCCTGTATGAAAATTCACCCACAATCAGATGTCACCCTCCCTTAGAATAAGAATGCTGTCATTCTTCCCTTTTACTTTGCATATTTTTATTTCACAGCCTCACGATTGAATTTGAAGTACGAACGGAAGCTGAATCAGGCTTGCTCTTCTACATGGCTCGGATCAATCATGCCGACTTTGCTACGGTTCAGCTGAGAAACGGATTTCCCTACTTCAGTTACGACTTAGGAAGTGGTGACACCAACACCATGATCCCCACGAAAATCAATGATGGCCAGTGGCACAAGGTAATAGTCCTCAGGATGTTGGTGGTGCCCTGCAAGGCGGGTACTTGGCGGCAGCCTCCGGCCCTCGCCCAGGGCCAGGACCGTTCTGCTGGTGCAGACTCTGACCTGGTGCTCCAGGAATGCAGCCGAGGCTAAAAATAAAGCAAATGCTGTATACAACGGCCAGCCTTGGCAGTGGGATCAGACCTGGGTACGTTGGTATTGGACCACTTCACATGCCTCATCACGGTACCGCGGGATGCTGTCATTGCTATACAGCTGTGCTTCCCGAACATCTGTCTACAGACACGGGCCAGGCCGTTGAAGACATTCTCACTGCTGGAAGTGGGAAACATGGAAAATGAAGCATGTTAATCATAAAGCTCTACGAAATCAATTTAAAAGAATAATACTTATTGAGATAATATTTTTCTATTTTTAAGGCAGCAAAATGACCTCTTTTTTATGAAATTATATTTGACAAACTTAAAAGCTGGCAATACTAAAATGGCCCTCAAGACTTACCCTCCTATCTCACCTCATACTGGTCTATAAAAACCAAGAGTCTGGGAATCTGTAGTATCATGTTTAAAGGGCTCTAGGGTATCATATCCACCAACAGTCATTTGGAACAACTTTTAAAGCATTGGCCTTACACCCAGAAGCTGGTGCTATTGTGGGCACAGAAGGCTCATTTGCCAACTTACTGTCCTCTTTGGCATGACTACAAGTAGATAATATACTGCCTGATTAAAACGAAGACTCAGAGTTTGTTTCTGCACCTGTGATAGCCTATTAAGTAAAGCTTCCCTAGGTAGACGAATAAAATGTTTAATTTTTAGAATAAAATGTTATTAGATGTTGTAATTTATATGTTAACGTAGTTGGACTTGTTAAGTGCTCATTTAACATTTTATATGATTAGCATATCCCATGAAAAGCCAAAAACCTAAAAATATATAATAAAGATGCAATATTAACTGATCTGTTACCTTGAAAATAAAAGAAAAATCATATTTGCTTGAGAGCTTATGACTTGCAAATATTGATCTTTATAAAGGCACTCTCGTGAAGGTTTGTTCTTACCTTTCTAGGGTGTCCAACCTTTTGGTGTCTCTGGGCCACACTGGAAGAAGAGTTGCCTTGGGCCACACATTAAATACATTGCAATGCGTAATCACAAAAAGAATCTCACAATGTTATAAGTAAATTTGCAAATTTGTTTTGGGCCACATTCATAGCCATCCTGAGCCGTATGCGGCCCATGGGACAGAGGTTGGACACCCTAGAATAGTAAATGTGGCACTTGAGAAAACGATGTTCTTGGGCCACAATCTGGTATTAAGGAAGAAAGTTTAAATTTAATAAATAGCCACATTAAGAGGAGATTTTATTTTTGAAAGATTTTTTTAAATTATTTCTCTAACCAGAATAAGTATAAAGTGAGGTCTTAAGTTCTTCTCATCCTGATGTAGATTCATTTTTAAGCCATCATTGTATTCCAGCATTTCAGAGGGTTCCGTGCTCCTTTTTCTAAATTCAGACTCAAGGTTTTTATGCTCAAGCCAGTTTTCACACCCCTTTTTTCACTCTATCCCAGAAGATAATTCACTCCACTGCTGCAATTTCAGCATCAGTCAGCTTTCCATCTTCCTCCTGACTTTGTACTAATCACCTGCTGCAGAAACAGCAGCGCAGCCTGGATGGGCTGCCCTGCCGTCAATCCTGCAGGAGAAGGGCTGTTAGGCAGAGGGATGTACCATATCTGAGATTGTGCCGGGGAGACCAGAACTTGCTCAATCAAACTAATACACTTTTAAAAACAGACATGAATTTTGCAGCTCACGTAATCATGACAGGGCTCTCAATCTGCCCAGTTCCTTACAACATGCTTACTTGGCAACCTGTAGAAGAGTCTTCAATCTAAAATTCACCCAGGAAGATTTTGTACTCTTTCAGAGATGGCAGTAATGGGGGGAAAAAATAGTTCGAGATCTTCTGTAAAATAGGTTTAATTTCACTTATATTATGGGCTTAGCACATACTGGGCACTTGGTACATATTATTTTGCTTTACCTAAGGAATATCCATAAAGTTCTTTTATTTTATCCTCTGAATATTTGAAATTTACCTGTGACTGACATTAATGGCTCCTCTTTTTGTAGATTAAGATTACACGAACTAAGCAAGAAGGAATTCTCTATGTAGATGGTGCCTCCAACAGAACCGTCAGTCCCAAAAAAGCCGACATCCTGGATGTTGTAGGAATGTTGTATGTTGGTGGGCTACCCATCAACTACACTACCCGAAGAATCGGTCCAGTAAGTGTGTAGTTTATTTCTGTGGCTTAAATAATCTGGCTGAGTCATATATATATTTTTAATTATTAGGTCACATTGGCCAATAACCACTTATAATTAGATAGAAAATAATCTTTTCTGAGAAGTGACAGAAGGTCTCCTAGACAAATTTGACTACAAGAGGCAGTGTCACAGAACAGAATATGGGTCCTGGAGCCAGGCTCCCTTGGTTGGAATACCTGCTAAACTATTGATTAACATTATGATCTTAAGCAATTTACCTACTCTTTCTTTGACAAGTTCACTCTTTTTAAAAATAGACTAATAGTAATACCAAAAAAACAAGGTTGCTGTAAAGATTAAATGAGGTAGTATATTTCACATGCCTGAAAGAGTCCCAAGCATATAGAAAGCGTAGGACAATAAAGATGATATAGCATTGAAAGCATTGTTTCAGAACTAGAGATTTAGCAAATATTGAGAGGTGCCGTATTAAGATTACAGTTATTCAATACTGGATTCAGAATTTAAAGTCTTAGAAATTTTGTAAATCAATATTCACAAAATAATTTTTTTTCAGGATGTGTGTCCAGGCTTACTTTGGGAAGCATTATTTTAAGCAGCACAGGGGATTCATGTTTTTAGAGAACACACTGCATACAAGTGTGATATATTTCCATACTCAAATCAGAACACATGATGATGTAGAGCTGTTCTTCATCAAACACAATTGTTCATCATACTTGTAATTCTCAGTACTTGGTTCCTCTTACAGATGATCAGTATTGCCTCCCTTTTATAGAGTTGGATATGCCACCCAAGCCTATCAAAATGAGAGTCTCTGCAGTGAGATTTATATTTTATATTTCATCTGGTTTTAGAGATGCAACAGTGATTAAATTGCATCCCTAAAACCAGATGAAATAGAATGGAGCAGAGTATGATTGATTTATTTCTATAGTCCCTAAACTTTGGATGTTTTGTTGCAGACTTTCAAGTTTTATGTGTATGTTTGTGCGCTTTCTTAGGAAAAGGTTCACTGCTTTCATTAGCTTTCCATAAGGAAGAAACACTGAACCAAACCTAATTATCTTTTCAAACAGAATTTGAACATATATTATGACAAAATATATATAAAGTAAGGTCAGAAAACTATTAAAGAAATATGGGCTAATTAAAACTCACAGTACCCGTATAGGCCCATAGCCCTGTGCAGTGTTTAGAGTATCAGCATGATCATGTCCAGGCTGGATACATCCCAGTTGAGAAGCACAACAGGATTTTCCGCGCTCATACGTGAAGCCTGGGGCACTGGTGCAGATCCAGGCAGTTTGCTTGAAGACAAATGGCTGATAATTATATGCTTAGAGCTTCCCACAAATGATTGCATTCCATGTAGAGGCAAAAACCTGATTTCGTTTCTTCTGACCTGAAAGGTGACCTACAGCATTGATGGCTGCATTAGGAACCTTCAGATGGCAGAGGCCCCTGCTGATCTTGAACAGCCAACCTCCAGCTTCCATGTTGGGACATGTTTTGCAAATGCTCAGAAAGGAACATATTTTGATGGAACAGGTTTTGCCAAAACAGGTGAGGTGCCTTCATTTACTTCCTGTTGCATATTAATGAGGTACAAATATTATTCTTGTGTGGAAGCATAAAAGTCCCCAGGGACCTAAACTAGTATCCTTTACTTAAGCCAGAAATAAAAACATGCAGAAGTAAAAAAAAAACAAAAACAAAAAAAAAAACTACCTCTTAAAGATTAATGTATCTGATTCTGATAAGAACTAATAGAAGAAATAAAGTAAAAGGCTATTTGGAAAGTTTATTTCATCTCCTTCCCTGGAGATCAATAACAGCAAAATAAATGTAATTCTGCAAGAAGGTTCATATGTTTCTACCATATAATTTATCTACTTTTAAGTTTTCCCTGTCTGCCTTCATGGAGATGAGATAACACGTTTGTTTGTTTTTGGTTGTTTTTTTTATTTCTTTCTTCAGTTCCTTGCAAGGCTCTGTTTCTCGGTCTCTTCGTACACACACAGTGCACACAAGCTGGTGCCCATTTCTCGTTGGCGGAAGTGATAACGGCCCCTTTCCCTGCTTTCCTTAAGTATCTCTCCTTTTCCAGTGAACATTTCCAGTGCAGGCCTGAATCACTGCAAGTGAAGGCACAATTTAGAAAGAAAAATACAAAATAAATTCTATAAAATAGCAAAAAATATGACAACATATATTACGATAGACTATTCAGGCCAGTGGTTACCACAGACACATGTTTTTGTTCATTAGAAAATAATTGCTGAGTACAGACTATGTAGAAGTCATCATGGTCAACAGAAGTAAATAAGACGATGTTTCTTTAAGAATATACTATCAATAAGTAAGGTTCTGTATGCTTAAAAATCACAAAAAAAGTAAAATGTATAAAAACTAAAAGACATGCAAGAAGGTTCTGTGAATATTTAGAAGGATAGGATAATTTTGGCTGAGAAATAAGGAAGGTTTTATGGAGAAACTGATACTTGAGTAAATTTAAAAGATGAGTTGAACACCCGCATGCCAATGTTGTCAGAGGTAGAAGAGCAAGGCCTTTCAACACAGAGAATAGGTGGAAATTTCACCTATGCAGAAACAGAAAACAAAAACAGAGGATATGTTAAATATTGAAATAGTGGGTGTTAAGATGAAGCCCAAATTCCATGTGCTATGAAAGTCCAAAGCCTTCTGCAATTTTTCTGCAAGTTCATAGATGGCTAGCACTCCCTTTGTCAGATCTGATGGCAAACTTCAGCTTCAGTTTCTGCAGTTAGATTGACTTGCCGTCCTGCCTGGGCTCTTTGGTTCTGGATCAAACAGAGCCAGAAAATTAGCCCCTTCCCCAGTTTCCAACAAATCTTGCCATCCCTGCCACACACAGGGTAAACAATCTATATAAGGTCTGGGTGGTCAGAAGAGGTTATGTCACTGCAAAATGTACAACTTCAATTTAACCCCTTGACATCTTTGTTTCTAATAGCTTTCCAGCCACCCAGTCAGTGGGTTTTAGTGGCCTCCGTACTCCCTCTGTCCTCTGCTGAACTATCTCATGTCATCCCTCTCTTCTCCTTAATGCCCCCTTTCAGGACCAGAAACAAAGGCTTCCTGTTTTGTTTTGCAGAACAACTCAGTTTTTCCTACCCTTTGCTCTTAAAATCCACTGTAAGCCCACTTTTGCCCATCCAAACCCATCCAAACCCACCCCAGTAGAATAAAAGTCTTTTTCATTGCAGGTGCCACCCTTCAGCTGTGTTTACACATAGCTTTTTTTTTTTTTTTATGGATAAACGAATAAATAGAAGACATGGAGAAACTTTCCCTGAGTTCTTCCCTAACACTCCATGTAGTTGGTAGGGTCTAGTCTGGTCTTAATGAATCACTTTGTTTCCAAGAGGCATGTTTTCAATACTTTCTAAAAGATTAAATAAACTAATGAATCAAATATGGAAAATTACAGGGAAGAGACTTAACTGGATGAAATAGAAAAGTCTATTTTTGTCCCAGCATCTTCTTCAAAATTGTACTTGCAATCCTTTTCTTATTACTGAGCTCTTTCAGGTCATTGTAGCACCACTTGGAGTGGCCCAGTAAAATTTTACTGACTAATCACTTAAATGCTTGACTTAATCCTACAGCAAGACCTCTAACATAATCACACCTGGATGTGAGGTTCTTTAAGTCAGTCTCAGTGTGCGTTCTTTATTCACTCATTCAACAAATATATATATTAAACATCCAGTAGGTGCCAGATACTTTGGGCGGGCCATGGATAAAATGGTGAGTAATATGGATAGTCATTGCCCTTGTAAAACTTACATTCTAGGAGGGAAGACAGCCAAGAAAATAAGCAATAACTATAAAGCATGTTATATAGTATAATAGTGGGAGTGTAAGCCATATTAACAGTCTGGAACTTAGTTATTTAATTGGCTAACATCTGAATTGAAATCTAGTAAAACTGTTCTATTATACAAATTTGAATGAACAATCCCTAAACTCTAATCTACAATTTTCTGTAAAACCTTTATTTTACAGTTGATGGGTTCAAAGTGGGATTGGACCTTCTTGTAGAATTTGAATTCCGCACAACGAGAACCACTGGAGTTCTCCTGGGAATCAGCAGCCAAAAAATGGATGGAATGGGTATTGAAATGATTGGTGAAAAGGTAAGTATCAGCTGCCTAAATATTTCTGATTTCTTCATGATATTTTTGTTCAGATGCAGAAACTTTATTTTGAAGCTTGATTCTTTATTGAGAGAGAGGTAGGTTGTTTCTTTTCATTCTTCTGGCTTATCTCAATTATGAGTGATTTCAAGACACCTCTTCCGTAGACCAGTGTGCACTTTAAATGTGCTAATACTACATTAAGCCAAATGTGTTGACGAATAATGGACTGAATAGCTTAAGATTTCAAGCTCTTACTGCGTTACCAACTTATTCTCTTCTTAGTGAATGCACAGTCTATGAAACTCTTGATTTTAGTAGGGAGAAAAAAGGAGGAGTCTTGGGTTGTCTAAAATCAGTCTTTTCCTCTTATAATAATAAGTAGCTAGCTAAAATATTGGTTTCTCAATTTTTACTTAAAGCATACAGATACCATTTCAAAAAAAGAGAAAATTTATAATACATTTATATTAGTATAATTAAAATATTTTGTAAATTTGCAATTGATAATCTAATATAAGCACTTCCTTGGTGCCTATGAATAAGCCGCCTGTGATGGGACAGACCTGTTTGTATATACCTTGTATTGTGGATAAGAAGAGGAAGGCAAAGCAAGAAAATTCACAAGGTTTCTTTCTGGCTATTAAATACAAATCATACTCCAACTCCGTTCATATTTCCACTCATAGGGTATTGTTTCCCTCCCAAGAAGAAACACTGCATCATGACTTAAAGTATGCTTTCCTTTGCCTCCTCCCTCCCTCCTCTGTCTTCAAACCATCGTCAAAGGCAATAAAGCAAAAAGATCCTAGAGCACAGAGCTGAAAGGGGAACAAATAAGCAACATTTAATAGTTTTGCCAGATTTTCAAAACATACTTTCCCTATATCTTGTTGGAATAAGCTTCATTTCGTCACCTGTTTACAATTGCAGTTACTATCAACTTGTCAGTGAGTGTATCAAGTTCCATAACAATGCATGTGGATTTCTCACCACACTCCTTTTATATGCAAAATCCCATTATTCAAACTTCACCTAATATAGTAAAATCTTAACTCAAATTTCTATCACTGTATAATTTACAAACCTTTCACCTATTTACTTGTACTTTTAATCTTCTTTTTAAAACTCCTATTTCTTTTACATTGTCAAATGTGTTGCCCGATTGACTGTTTTTAGTATTTCCTTATGTTTCTTTTCTTCATCAGCTTCAAAAGAATTCTGTCATCTCAAATTTCAGGGACCGTTCCATGTTACTGAAAACAGATTTTTCTCATTTAGATGAGAACTACCAATCTAAGTTCTCCATTGTTAAGAATTTAACCAGCCTTCTGGCTCAAAGTCTTTGGCACCTGTGACATAAAGCTGGCCCCCAAAAAGTAATTTATGTAATTCTCAGTCCTGGGTATAAAATGGAATCCGTAAAGGAAAAAAAAAATGATTAAAACACCAAAGCCTAAATTGAAAAAAAACAAACCAACCCAATAACCCTTTTTAAATGAATTTGTAAACCAAGTTAATGAATCACTCTAAACATCTTTTAAGAAAATTTTTTAAGGTTCACTAAGAACTATCACACCCTAAAAGATCTATGGTAGAATTTTCCGTTTATATGAGGTCCTTTTCTTTGTCAGCTATTCTCAAATTATATTTCACATTTTCTAAAAGCAGAATTATTACTAGCCTCACACATCTTGCCTACTGCTCCCAACAATGCCCGAAAGCAAAGGACATAATTTGTGACTCCAGGTCATTAAATTTTTGTTTCAGCTTTTGTCAAGTTTTGGTTTGTTTTTTTTAATGCCTCAGTTATGTTCATTTCAAACTATTCCAGCTGATATCTTTCCTATAGACCTGACAATTTTTGTCATGTGAACCATCATGATGCCCTTCTAATGAAACCGTCTGTGACTGTTCAATTTCCTACTTTATAGATTATGTTTCATGTGGACAATGGCGCTGGCCGATTCACTGCTGTCTATGATGCTGGGATCCCAGGGTATCTGTGTGACGGACAATGGCACAAAGTCACAGCCAACAAGATCAAACACCGCATTGAGCTGACAGTAGATGGGAACCAGGTGGAAGCCCAGAGCCCAAACCCCGCATCTACATCAGCTGATACAAATGACCCTGTGTTTGTTGGCGGTTTCCCAGGTGAGCATTGTTTAGCCCAGTAACAATTTCTTTGCTATATTATGTTCATGATTTTTAAAACCTTGATATTTCTAGGAAGGTATCCAAGAATGTGTGCTTAAGTATACCTGCTTCCTAGCTTTAGAATCTGCTCCCATAAATAACACCTTTCCTGGAATTCCCAGTGTATAAAATGAGCATATTACTTTTCATGATACCCCCAAAGTTTCATTTGTGGGGCAATGGAGGATAGTGGAAATGAAGTTGGCTTATAAAAGATATAAAGCATTTAACAGTGATCAGGCCAGAGTTGGTGTTCTTTCTGATTTTTTAAATATTAATATGCCCAAGTAATCATAAAATGTTATGGAACTTATTTCCTCAAATTCTGGAAATCATTGGGTTAAATGTAGCTAATTTCCCCCTTAGGTTATTTTAGAATTTATATTTATATTACTAGGAAACCCAAGTAATAAATCTGCATTTGAAATCCCTCTTCAGCACATTAAAAATAGCATGGGAACCTCAGAGAGTTACCTAAAGTGCCTATAAACAAGAGGACCCAACTTGAGGAGAAATAAGCCAAGTGCCTCTTAATAAGCACTGTAATAACACAGACTGTTAGAATGGCCTTTCAGCATTTTGGCAAGAGAAACGTTTATTCCCACTTATGGTACACCTCCTCTGCTTAACAAAACAAGCAAAATGTATATTCAGCAGTGGTTGACTGAGGACAAGATACAGGACTAATGAGGACCAATCCAGAGCTCCTCTTTCCAAAGCTGATTGTCTTTTCACAAGTAGGTTTTAACAAGACCTACTTCAGCTTCAATCAGGATAAACCCCAAGATGGTATAAGGGAGATAACATATTTCTTCATTCACGGTCTGTGAAATGATATCCTATTAGCACCTTGTAGGCCTGCTGAGAGAAGGGAGTCTCTCCTTAATGAGAGGAAGATTTTGCGTGAGTTTCCAACCAATTTAACTTTCAGAATGTATTTTTATAATGTAAGAAAGGAATAAAGTCCATGAAAAGCCCCTATCTTAATTCAGTATTTGATCGATTGCTTTGTTTTATTAAATCAAATTCAATAATTATAAGCCATAACTGTAAAAGGGGTATAAATTTTAAAATTGTAAGTCCAAACCAAATTATTTGATGTCTTAAAATGCGTGTCTTCCAACCTTATATTACTATAAAAACATGCTCTTACATGTAACAGCTTCATTTCAAAACTGAGCCCTCCTTGCTTTGTTTTTCAGAGGGCCTTAACCAGTTCGGCCTGACAACCAATGTTCGGTTCAGAGGTTGCATCCGGTCCCTCAGGCTCACCAAAGGCACGGGCAAGCCACTGGAAGTTAATTTTGCTAAAGCCCTGGAACTCAGGGGTGTTCAACCTGTATCATGCCCAGCTAAATAATAAAAATAAGTTTAACCCCAGAAGGGTTCTTCAAAACAAGTGTATCAAGTAAAACAAATATATTTTACCTGTGTATGTTATTAAAACTAATTTGTGCATGTATATTGAATTATTTCTGTATTCAGATGGTGCTAATTCAGATCCCAGACTGAATTTTAATTCCAGTTCTTTCTCAAGTCCATTAATATTAAACCACCTATTTCATTCTACATTATTGCTTGTTTTGTGTGATTTTAAGGATAAAAGGCAACTGACCATAAATTGCTGAATTTACAACATGCCTTAGAGTCATCTCAAGAAAAGTTCAGATGTAATTTGTAAAGGCAACAGTTTTGTTTTGTTTTGTTTTGTTTGTTTGTTTGTTTGTTTTTACTAACTCTTATTAATACTTTTATCATCCTTTTCATGCTTGTCAGCTTTGGCTTTCTGTCCAGACCACTGAAAACAACTGTGGCTTTGGCACATTTGATCGGAAGGAAATGAGCTCCCATACTCCCTATGTTTGTGAAAACATTAGCAAATCATTTCTCTGATCCAGGTTCATTAAAAGAGAGTTCAACTATCTGTATGAGTGAATACTTTTCTAGGCTGAAGGTAGAAAATATAGATCAGATTCAGGCCAGAGAGCTTAATTACTTGATTTTCTTGTTTGAGAATGATTTATAGGCTTTGGGTAGATACCAGAACCAAGCTCCAGAGTGACAAATAAGCACACATTTTATATAACAGTATTGAGGCTTTGGGCTCTAAGTTTTTGGTGAATAAGACAATCTACACTAAGTGGAGAGAAATAGTACTAAAATTAACTGTTTACTTACCAAAAGTCAATAAACCAGTAACTTAAAAGGCATAGATCATTGAATCTTTTTAATTGCAGTTCAGTACAAAGAAAGTGGTTTAGTACGACCTAAAAAATTCATTCCCTACCAAATTTTGTGTTTTGTGCTCATTTTACCCAATATTTCAATAATCTTCAAAGGGGTCTGTGAGAAGAATGGCCCCAATGATATTCATTATGTTAAGGAGAAAACATTTCATCTGCCATCTTCAGTAGAAATAGTTGTAGTCTAGTAACCTAGAACATTTAAAAGAACAACTTCCGTCACAATGGTAATTTTAACCAAAGAAGTATAATCCTCAGGGGGAAGAAAGGTGCTGTTTCTAATCAAGGAAATGGCTAATATACTGTTAGCATTTTATCGTTGGCCAGGTGCTTGATATAATTTTTCCACACAACTCTATTCTAGACCAAGCAATTCTCAATCCTGGCTCCATTTCAGAACTACCTAGGAAGCTTTAAAAACAAAAACAAAAACAAACAAACAAACAAGCAAGCAAACAAAAACTCAGTGTCCCCATCAGCAATTTTGATTTGGTCTACTAGGATGTAGCCTGGACATGAAGATTTTTTAAAAACCTTCCTAGGCAATTCCAAAATGCCATCAGGGACAAGAATGACTGTTCTAATGAGAAAAATTATCTGCTATGCCAACAAAGAGTTGTAGTCATTTGAGAATCCGACTTAACTTTGTCTTGACTATTTCCATACACATAATACAACAGACATATATATACATTATTGAATCTAGTTAATGCCTAACCTTTAAGTAATAAAACTCTTTGAAAACCAATGTGTTTTGAAAGGGAAGACATTACTTTTGTACTGAACGTTGGCATGACTTTGGGGCTTATTCCTGATAATGACTGGATAAACAGGAATAGAAATGCTAGGTTCCTAAATTAAAAGCTAATGCCTTTCTTTCCTGAATTCTGAGCAGAAAGATAATAAGAAAGCCAGGGTATTTAATTGGCACGCCCATCAGAGTTAAACCCAGCTGAAGTCAATTTGTAGATAAGTGCCTTAGAATGGTAGAGTTGGAAGGGCTCTTTAGATCAATAAATACAGTGATTCTCAGCTCTGGCTAGCCATTAAAATTGCCTTCACCACTTAAAAACAAGAAAATAGACTAAAATCTTGCATCTGGATATCACTCCAGACCTTAAGGTATAATCTCTGGATAGGTCCTTGCCTTTGGCATTTTCTAAACAACTTCGGTTGATTCTAACATGCAACGAAGGCTGAGGACTCCTGGGCTCCTACTGCCTCTGTATTGTAGGGGCTAGAAACTAGAAGGGACTCAGGGAGATTTGTTGGTGTGCTCAAAGTCTCACATTAGTTACGTTTCCACATAGACCCAAAACGTTGATCATACCCCAGCAGAGTACACTGAAGCAGGCATTAGCTCCATTTGTCCTGTACAAATCTATACTCCAAAGTGGAAATTTAATAAAAGAGAAAAGTTTCTCTAACATAATTTAAATTAATTTTCTACCTCAAAAATTAGATTAGTTTTTAATCCCAAAACAAGGTAAAATGTTTCCTTCACTCAACTTTATCGCCTCAGTAATTTCTTCATCTCCTGCCACCCACAGCAATCATGAAGAAGGCTAAATACTTTTCACTTATTTTCCAAACACCCACTCCTACCAGGTTCTCAGCTTTCTTTCTTTAAGAAGGTGCTTGGTACTTTAAAAGGAAAACATTTGTAAGTGAAGTTTTATTGAAGTTACCATGGTGAACACCACTGACAAAGGAAAATAAGGAACAGAGCAGATTTTAGCCCCAAATCACCAGAATACAGCCAGAACTACCAGACACTTAAAGTTTCAACTAGTGGTTTAACAAATCATAACTATTTTCTTCTTTGATTTAGCCTATTGTCCCTAACTACAAAACTCTTCTAGATGTTCTGCTTAACAACAGAGGAGAATACTACTTGGACGAGTTGAAAATTTCTTGATTTTATGTGAATTATTTCCTGAACTATTTTGTATATAAAATTGATTTCTATATGATTAACATGGAAACAAAACACACTAGTCAATTTCTGCAAGCCCAGAGCAATCTTCTTTCTCACTACCACTTCCTAAGGATATCACTTAGAGCTGATGCAGCTTTTGTCTGTTTTTCAATGTCTATTCATCTCTCTTGAATCGAAAGAAAGATACAAACACATGTACTATAGTCACCTGTTTGAGATTAGATACCTCAGACCTAAGGGACACCAAAAGGGAAGGGATGCACAGGTTGGGCCCTGGGTTCCATTATTTTGAAATCTTGACATTCAAGGTAGTGGCTCAGGCTCACTCTTCAGCATTTGTGTCAGTTTCCTAACTGAACATGACATTTGTGCCCATTACTGAAGTGTAAGTGTCATAGCATGAATGATATCCTTCAAAGATTAATCCTTTGAAGTTCTAATCCCCCAGTATTTCAGAATGTGACTGTATGTGGAGATAGGGACTTTAAAGAGGTAATAAGGGTAAAATAAAGTGATATTGGTGGGCCATAATCCAACGCCATTGATGTCCTTAACAAGAGATTAGCACACAGACAGGCATAGAGAAAAGACCATATAAAGACTCAGAGAGGAGGTAACCATCTACAAGCCAAGGAGAGAGGCATCTAGAAAAGAACCAACCCTGCTGACATATTGAACTCAGACTTCTATCTACCAGAATTGTGAGAAAACAAATTTCTGTTGTTTCAGCCACTCAATTTGTGGTACTTTGCCATGGCAGTTCTAGCAACTTAAAGTAGGGCCTTTCTGCATTAAAAAAAAAAAAAGATCGATTACTAAATCAATCATATATAAGTGTACATACACACACACACACACACACACACACACACAAACACGCATACCTAAAACATTAGCACATTTCAGGTTCTCTGAAGAGTGACATGTACATCAGAGAAATTATTTTGAGTAGTGACCGTTACCACTTATGTAAGTAGAAAAAAATAAAACAATGTTCACAATGTAGTTAAATAAAGAAGTTGTTTTATATGTGCTTGGGTATGTTAGGAATAGCTATATAGCAATTATAAATCAAAGAAACAACACTACTTACTGAACTTATCAGTAGAAAGCGTTTTTCGGAGAGCTGTTTGTATATTCAGGTTTGGAGAACTATTCAGTCAGCCTTGGATAGATCAAAGCCTGTTTCATTATTGCAAGTTGACTCCCTGGATCCTTTTGCAGGGACACACTTAGATGAAAGAGGTAGCAACAGTAGAGGTGGTAAAAAGTAATTAGATTCTGGTATGTTATGAAGGTAGATTAGTGTCTCTGAAAGTACTGCCTATGGAGTATGAAAAATAAGGTTCTGATAACTTTTGATCATCTAAAAGAAAGAAGTAGCCAATATTCCAGGATGGAGGATGGAGCTGGATTAGGCTTTTTTTGGAAGAGAAATCCAGGGGCATAGTTGTAGACATATTGAATTTAAACTTGCCACTAGGTATCTAAGTGCACAGTACTGTAGGCAGTTGGATATATGAGTCTGGAGTTCAGGAAAGAGGTCTGAACTATAGATATAAATATGAGAATCATTGGATTGTTGATATTATTTATAGCCACAAGACTAAATGAGATCACTAGGGGAGTGAGTATAGATTGAGGACCATGGACAATTTAGCATTAAAAGTATTAAGAATACAAATGTCAGAAAAATTATTTAGAACTTGAAAGTAAGCAAAAGAAATTGTTAGATGTTCTTTTGGTGCAGTACTGGGCCTGACTTTCTATTGACTGGGCTTTCTAAAACTCTGTAGGGTCAAAGTTATCTTGTAGACTTTTGTCTAGTAGAGATGTAAATAATTTTTGTCTGATGGAAGAGATAACCCCAAAGTTAACAATTCTGTATTTGTAGAAATCTTACCCTAATCTTTGTGTTTGTGTGTGTGTGTATGTGTGTGTGTAGCTTCTCAAATGCTTTTTAGAACAGTTTTAACATCTTACTAATTCTCCCATTAATGAGTTAAATAAAATCTTTGAAATGTGTTCACATTATATTTACTTGAGAGTCAATTTAACCTTCTGAAGACAAACTATACTTTAGCAGGGGAGGAGTGAAGCAAAGAACCAGTTGAATTTTCCCAGGTCAATTTAAAACTAAACTTCAGGCCATACAATTTGTTCATTTATGATTGAATTTTTTCAATTTCCTCATTCTATGTTTCCACTGCTACATTTCTTGCTAAGTAAATATTACTTCTGAAAGTAAAAATAATGTTTAAAAGCTTAAGAAAATAATTATAGCTATTCACTTCAATTTTTATTGATAATTACTCCCTCCTGAAAGCACAGTCTCAGCTTTTACGTACACACACATATAAATCATCTTATCTTTTTGGTAATGTTGGAGCTAAGAACAGATTATTTGTGGCCAGGGGCTCCTTGTTTGAGAGATTTTAGGAAAGTCAGTGGCATGAACCAAAATAGGCCATTTGTATGGAAAACGCAATGGAAATGGCTGAAGAGGGGTGAGTCTTGTTAGCCAGGTTGATGGAGACTTGGCTATGGAGTCTGCTTGCTGGCTCTGTGAGGGGAGGGTTCAGAAAAGGAACAATGGCTTCTGCCAGCATTTCTTTCTGGGAGAAAGCTGCTCCTCCAACTCTCACTGTGTTGCCCAACAACTTAGTTCCTCCCCATATGTTGCTGGTGCCTTTTGAGCTTATGCCCCAGCACTGGAGCTCAGAGGGAATGAGTCCAAGTAACTCTGGGTATGAGCCCTTTAAGAGGAAATGCCTGGAACTCCAATAGCCCTCTGTCTCACTTAGCCAAAATCCCCAATGAATTTTACAGCCAGAAGTTATAGGGACTTCTCTTCTTGGCACTGTAACCCTGAGCTGGGGGGTCTGGTATGGAGCTCTTTACTCCTCGGGGGGACCTCCCAATTTTTCGCCACCACAAATGAGTGTGGGACTAACCCATTTTGCATCTTCTCCTCTCCCACCTATCTGGATGTGGCTCCGTTCTACCCCTAGTTATAGGACTTCTATTCAGCTAGATTTCAGATGGTTCTGAATGGCGATTGTTCCATAGTTTAGCTATAATTTTGATGTGGTTGTGAGATGGGGCAAGCAGCACATTTACCTACTTTGTCATCTTGATCAGGAGCCACATTTTGCAATTTTTCAATTATTGAACTTCAGATAGAATGCTGACTTATGGGTCACAGTTTACACAGATGATTTCATATGTTTCTGACCCTTTTCCTAATGTTCCTGACAGTTATAGATATTTATTTCCTCTTTATATAATCATATTTTGATTAAAATTTTAATTATGTGCTATGGCATCA